GAGATGTAAGCTGAATAAACCCTTTCCTCCCCAAGTTGGTAGTGGTCAGAGTGTTTTGTCAAAGAGATGAAGAACAAACTAAGACAAATATTTAAAAATTTTTTTAAATGCTGGAGTGTCTGGGCCTGGGGTGTAGCTCTGACAGAGCAGTTGTGTAGCTTGGCTATTCAAGAGGTCCTCCTGCATTGCATCTTCCAGCAGCACAAACAGGCACACACACACCAATGAATAAAAACCAGGGGTACTGTGGCAGATGAAGAACAAACTAAGACAAATATTTAAAAATTTTTTTAAATGCTGGAGTGTCTGGGCCTGGGGTGTAGCTCTGACAGAGCAGTTGTGTAGCTTGGCTATTCAAGAGGTCCTCCTGCATTGCATCTTCCAGCAGCACAAACAGGCACACACACACCAATGAATAAAAACCAGGGGTACTGTGGCTATAGAGATGGATTAGTGGTTAAGAGTACTGGCTGCTCTTGCAGAGGATCTGGGTTCAGTTCCCAGTAACTACATGGTGCCTAACAACCATCTGTATCTCCAGTTCCAGGGGATCTGATGCCCTTTTCTGACCTCTGTGGGCATTGCACACATAGGTACACTTACATTTAGGCAAAACACTCATACTCATAAAATATAAATAAATAAAATATTTTAAAAATGAATACAACAGTAAAATTTGGGAAGAAATGACTATCATCAAGAAAACCTGGAAGGGGATGCTAGAAAGATGATTTTGAAGTTAAGAGCACTGGCTGGTCTTGCAGAGGAGGACACAGGTTCAGTTCCCAGCACCCATATGGCCGCTAACAACTGTCCATTTCCAGGGCATCTGATGCCCTCTGCTGGCATATGTATACTTACATACATGCAGGCAAACCACTCATACACATACAATAAATTAGCCAGACGTGGTGGCGCATGCCTTTAATCCCAGCACTCAGGAGGCAGAGGCAGGCAGGTCTCTGTGAGTTCAAGGCCAGTCTGGTCTACATAGTGAGTTCCATGATCCAGGACAGCTGGGGCTACAGGGAGACCCTGTTTACACACACATTTACAGGCAAAAAAAAAAAAAAAAAAGGAGCAGGGCATGGTAGCACATACCTTTATTCTCAACACTTGGGAGGCAGGGGCAGGTGGGCGAATTCCAGGCCAGCTGGTACTACAGGGAGACCCTGTCTTTGTGTGTGTATTGCCTGCATTTAAGTAAGTGCACCCATGTCGTGCAATGCCTGCAGAAGACAGAGGCTGTTGGATCCCCTGCAACTGGAGTTACGGACAGTTGTTAGCTGCCATGTGGGTGCTGGGATTCGAACCTGGGTCTTCTGCAAGAACAACCAGTGTTCTTAACTGCTGAGCCATCTCTCTAGCCCCCCGAGAGATCCTATCTTAAAAAGACCCCCCCCAAAAAAATGGAAGTATGGGTGTGGTAGTATACACCTTAATCCTAGCACTTGGGAGGCAGTGGATCTTTGTGAGTCTGAGGCCAGCCTGGACTACATAGAGAATTCTAGGCCAGCCAGGGGTATATACCCTATCCCAAAAAATAAACAGGGCTTGGAGAGATGGCTTAGTGGTTAAGAGCACCTAGTGTTCTTGCAGAGGACCCAGGTTTAGTTCCTAGCACCCACACAGTGGCTCACAACCACCTTTAACTCCACCAGCAGATCTGACACACCCTTCTGATCTCTGCTGGTTCCTGCATGCACATGCATGTGGTGCACATACATACACTCAGGCACACACACATATGTAACATAAATATGAAAAAATAAGCAAAAAACTTGAAAGAATCCCCAAATCTTGTATAATGCTTTGCTAGAGACCAACACTTGAATAAAAGCTGCTTTCCATTTATTGAGCACCTACTATAAAAATCCAATGCTTTAAAATCATCATTTTGTTTCATCTTTACAGTTCCATGAGGTAGACACTCACAGTTTCACTGGAAGGGAAGAACACAGGCAGGACACGCTGCCAGAGGCCACCAGTCAGGTGGTAGTGGTTTGATGCAAAGCCATTTAAAGAAGCTGGGGGTTGAAAGAGCAAGAGCAGCAGCTTGGAGAATCCGGGCCCTTAACAACAGCCCCAGTAGGGGGCAGAACTGATCAGAGTGGCACAGCAGGCACAGCAGGACCGTGGGGTGCTTTGTGTAGGCTTGGTTCCCTGTCCATAGGGATCCCGGCCGCTGGTTCTCAAGCCAGACTCTCTTCCTCCTCTCCAATAGGGCTGGGAAGCCAGGGCGGCGCCGGGACCCGGAGCCCAGGAATAGACACGGTGGTAAAGGGCTCCGAAGGAGGCCCCGGGATGGAGGCAGGCGGCTCAAGGCATGCAGGGGGCTCAGGCTCCGGCTCCCGAAGGCTGGGGTCGAGCAATGGGTCTCCGCAGCCGCACTCTGGGCCGCCATCCGCCGCACTTGCACATGCGCAGCTGGCAGCGGTGGATGTCTCTGACACGCAGCTGTTCTTACGCTTTAGCAGCGACAGGCGCCGGCCTAGCAGGCCTCCTCCCGCAGTCCCAGCACCTGCCGGTAGGAGGCGCTGCAGGAAGTCCACCGGCGCGTCTCCTAGGGGGCCGTCCACGCCGTCCAGCCGCTGGAACTGCATGTCTTCCTTAGCCAGCCTGCGGGATGGACAGCGGGTCGTTGCTGCGGCCTCACCCCTCTGCATTTAGTTTTCTGTTTCTTTTTCTTTTCTTTTTAGTAGTGAAAACGTAGGTTTATTAAGGAAAAGTGAGACTCCTAGAAGTGGGAAAGATTCCAAAGGAGAAATGCCCTATTTTTCTGGGATTTTTTTTTTTTTTTTTTTTTTTTTTTTTTTGAGACAAGGACTCACTAGTCCTGGCTGGCCTCAAACTCGTGGGCAAACTTCCTGTCTCTATCTTTCAGTGCTGAGACTACAAGCATGTGCCATCACACTCGGCCTTTTCTTCCCTCCCTCCCTCCCTCCCTCCCTCTCTTTCTTTCCTGCTATCTCTATTTAGTGGTGTTTGGGATGGAAGCTAGGGAGAACCCTCCTGCGTAAAGGACTTCAGCCTCTTCACTGACAAAGCAGGATGGGAGGCACCCAGATTTACCTAGCTCCACTCATCTCTTTGCACCCTGAAAGACTCCACTGCTTGCAGCTTCAATCCTAGCACCAACCCTTCTCCTCCCATACTCCCAAAAGCCTTTAGATCTGCCCCCAGTCCCCAGTTTATGACCAGTCACCACCCTAATCACATCCCTGAACTCGAACTCGGTATGTAGCTGAACTCCTGATCCCCTGGTTCCACCTGCCTGCTGGGATTACTGGCCAGTGCCACTTTGCCTGGCCATCTTATTTCCTAGCTCGGTACCCACCTCCCAACACACTCCTAACACACACACACACACACACACACACACACACACACACACACACTCAGCTTAGGCTGCTGAGCCCTAAGCCCCACCAGCTCACGCTATGTCAAAGGTGGAGCCCTGGAATGAGGGCTGCTGCAGTAAGAAAGCGGTGGCCGCGGTGTAGGGCGCACGAGCCTCTGCCGCATCCCAGTACAGATCTTTCTCCAGCATGGCCAGGTCGTCGTACATCTCGTCGACGGCCAGCATCGACACCTGAGGATGCGGACACGCAGGGTGGGGTGGGAGCGTGGTGACAAAGAGAGAAGGACATTTAGGGCGAGGCCTGGGGTCGGCCTGGGAATGCTTTGGAAACTTGTGCCTGCCCACCACGAGGAGACTCTGACCTGGAAGTTGCGGTCAATCAGAAAGTTGGTCTCAAAGTCGTCGTCGTCCTCTCCGAAGGGGTTGATGAGCTGCTCTGCCACCTGGGTTCGGAAGAGAGAGGCGGCGGAGCCTTGAGAACCTCGCGGGTAGAACTCCCCCACTCTTACCGAGCAGCCCCACCCACCTTGAGCCAGCCTGCGTAGAAGAAGAACTGCAGTAAGGTGAAAATGGGAATGCACAGGTCCAGGCTGTGGTCTTTGTAGCCCTGCGCCGGGTCCAGGAACTGACGACCGATGAGGCAAGCCAGGAAGTAGCTGTACACTGCTATGGTCACTACCTGGGGGCCAGGCAGGCAGAAAGCCAGGTCACTCTGGCCTGCATCTGTGCTTCAGGGAGTCATGGAAAGTCAGGACTAGTCTTGGGGCATCGGGATGATGGACTTTTAGCTGGCTCTCTGTCCCCACCCCTCTTTTTTGTTGAGACAGGATCTCAGTAACCCAGCCTGCTTTGTCGGTCCTTCTGCCTCAGCTTCCCTAGCGGTGGGAGTCTAGATGTGTAATACTGACCTCAGTTTCCCCTTGAGAATAGGTCAGGGACTCCTACACTTGTGTGTGGTTCTCCAACCTGGCGGGCAGGCACAGAAAGAGGGTCGCATAAACGGAGGCACAGAGAGATTACCTGAGTGTAGACGAGGGGTATACTGATCCAGTCGTAGTGAAACAGCATTCCACATTTGCCGCGAAACACATTCAGCTCCTTTGGGCAGATACAGGTCATGAAGAGGTTTCATGTAGAATTCACATGGAGATAATATGTATGAGAACCGGGGATGCAGGGGATGCGCACATGGTGGGAAGCAGGAGTGTGTTTCCCAGAGCTACCGAGTGGTTGTGTACATTTGCGGTGTGTGTGGGGGTACCATGCACTACCCGGATACCCTTGGGGGTGTTGGAATCTGCTCCCTTGGAAGTTAAGTGTGCATCTAGGGCCTGAGGAGTAAGGGTATTTGGAATCTGCCTAGTGGGAGGTGTGGCCGTCGCCCTCAACACACTCCAGGGGCGTAATTTCTCATGTATTCTACATGAATGATTTCCTAGTAGGCCCACCTCTAGCAGCAGTTTAAGAGCGCTGTTGTCGCGAATGCGACCCTCTCTCCTCGCCTGCGCCGCCAGGTTGGAGAACCACACACAAGGCACCCAATACTTGTTGTAAGATGAGTTCAAGTTCTCGAACTTCTTGCGCTCCTCGCGGGTCATAAATCCTGGAAGGGGCGGAGGCGATCGAGGTTACTCTCTCAGCTCTCCTCCCTGGCCCGGGCTCTTCTGGCCAGAGACTCACCCGCCTCCACCACGTGGTCTATGGTGGGGAACCGCTTGAAGACCGCTGTGCTGACAGAGCGCAGGATCAGCACAGCCGAGAGCCCTGCGTAGCGCATGAGCGTGCGGCGGTAGAGGCGGCCTCGATCATCGCGCCCGTGCACAGTGCCCGCGACCACACACATGAGCGCGTCGGGCAGAGGCATACTTAGGTACTGATTCCACCAGCGATGTACAACCAGCGTCACGTAGAAGCCTGCCGGAATGCACAAGCCGGGGATGGGGGCTCAGCAGGGATGGTGGAGTCAAGAGTTTAGGAGCCCAAGCTGTGGAAGCAGGGTGGCATAGAGCTTGCATTACAGACCTGGAGCAGGCTGGCTACCGTGATCACGCGGGGCCATCTGGGCTGAAAACTTTGGGAAGTCAAAAGAGCCTTAAATCTAAGAGGCTGGAGAAGGCTAAGGTACCCTGCGATGGGGATCCCAGTATAGAAGTGAAGACCCAGGGCCTATGTTAAGGGTAAAAAAGCAGGTATCACTCTGGGTACACAGGGAGTCACTGGGCTGACGGAGTAGGAACTGGGAACAAAGAGAGGACCCTAATTTGTGGACGTGGCGTGTTCACTAGGGACATTTGGATAGATCCCTGAGTCAGGGACTTGAGAAGGAGTTTGGTCCTATGCAAGGCAAGCTGGTCACTTCATACAAGTAATGGGAGGGTCACATGAGGTCTCCTTGGAGCTGGGGGCCAGGCTGGACTTGAGCGATTGGAATCATATTGGTATTGGGTCGCTGGAGGGAGTTCCTGGGGGCTCAGGACGTATGTGAGAAGGAGCAGTAGTACTCTTATACAGACCCAACTGGGAATGCTTGGGGGTGACCAGCAATAAATCTGTGGGTGAGGTGGAGTTCCCATGGGCCTCAGGGGGCACGGTGAGCAGGTATTACCCAAAGTTTCAGGATGTGGAGCCACACCAGCATTTTAAGTGGTGTGACTCCATAAGTTGGAAGCCCTGAGAGTTGGATTTGAGTCAGGAGCCTTAGAGGGGTAGGAACAGAGTTCCCAAGAGGCATGGAGAAAATAGGTTTCTCTGGGACGTAGCAATGGACAGTCAGGCGCGACCTGGCAACCTCACCGAGCACGAAGGAGACCGGGATGAGGCTGGCGTACTGGTCGCAGTATATGACAAGCTTCTCGAAGTAGCGCTTCTGCTCTTCCGAAAGGACGAAGCTGCCAGGCAGGGGATGCCGGGTCACAGGCGAGTTTGCCTCCGTTACAGGTCTCGCTACCCTCCCACCCACCTCCGTCCCTTTCCCGGAGTGCGGGTTTCCCTCAGTCCCCTGCGCCGACCCGCCCCGCCACCTCACCGGTAGGCGGCGCTCAGCGCCATGTAGAGCCCCAGGAAACAGAGCAGCTCTCGCCACAGGAGCTTGTAGATGCTTCCGCGCCACAGCACCAGCAGCTGCGAGAAGCCACCGAAGCGGGCGTTCGCCACTCGGGCTGTGTAGGTGACCGTCATCGCTGCGCCGGGCCGGTGGGGCCACTGGAGAAGGGGCTAGCCTGCGCCTGGTCCTGTGAGCCGAGGAAGGAATGCTGGCGCTGGGAGGGGATCTGGCTGGGGATTTCGGTCGCGGGTGGAGAGGTGCTAGCGGACAGACACAGCGCCCTGTCCCCACTGCACCTGGGCGGTCCCCACCCAAGCCCCGTTCACCCCCTAGGGTCCTGGCTCTTGCTCTAGTTCCCTTCTCCTTTCTCCCTGCTCTGACCTCCTCCCCTTGACTCCTGGTCCAAGCCTCTTAGACCCCTCTTCTAGATTCCTCACCTAGATCCCTCACTTCCTAAACCCTTGGGCGGCCACAGTCAACTCTTGAATTGCTCATCCCCTTCACCTGGGCAACACTCAGCCTCCGCAACTTCCTGGGTCCACAGTTTCTAGGTTCTCAGAGCTCAAGACCCCCGCCCTCCCGTTGTCCTCTCTTATTCCCACCTCCACTCCCTGTTTCCATCCCCCTCTCCCCCCCACAAGACTACAATCTGTACTTGATCTTAGATACAAATCAAGAAGGCTGGCAGCCTCACAGTCTGGGGCCTCTATCTGCCCTCATACTCAGTTCTCTGAGCCACATCCCCTAGGCTCCGGGCTCTCCCCTAGGCTCCCAGCCTTCCTACCTCAGGCTGGCCACCTTTCCTTCCCACACTGCGGGGGTCTGTCCACTTCCCCCTTAATTGCCCTGGCTCTGCCCTCTCTGAATTCTCTCCTAGATCCCCCTTAGCCTCTCTTCCTTTCTTCCCTTCTGACTGCTCTCCCAACCCCCAGCCTTCCATATTTCCCCTACCCCCTGTCAGCAGGAGTTCTGCCCAAAAGCCAGTCAGTCCCCAGGGCTCCAGAGGATTCTCCCGGGGTTGGGTCCTTCTCACCTGTGCTGAAGGTGGCAATGCAAGGACACACAGGGACAGAGACTGAATGGGAGGGTGGCTTTGGTACTGGGTGGGGCTGAAGCCAGACCCTGTGTAGGAGGGGGCTGGGGAGTGGGTGTGGGCAGCCCCTCCCAAATCCATCCGTCTGAGAACTTTGTTTGGAGAAGGGCCCCGCCAGCTTGTCACCTGGGATGGGGGAGAAGCATGTCCTGTCCTTCCTTGCTCCTCCCTGTCTCCCTCCCAGACATTCTTTAGCAGGTCCAAGGCAGCTGGAACCTAGATCTGGAAGAGAGGGAGGGAGAAGCTCCCTCCTAGACACACACACACACACACACACACACACACACACACACACAGTCCAGCAAACCTGGGTCACCCTCATATGATAGCTTGCTGTAACAAAGATGCACGCTTTCAGCTTCTCTTAACACAGCCTTACATAACCACAGGGGCAGTGCATACTGTCAAAGAGACTTCCGAAGTAGCCAGGTGGATTGGCTTCTGTTGGAGACTAGCCTGGGCTATAGAGTGAGACCCCATCTGGAAAAGGCAATAGAGACTCTAGAAAGATGGCTCAGAGGTTTAGAGCAAGTGCTGCTCTTGTAGACTTCAGTTCCCAGCACCTACTTGGGCTGCTCACAACAGCCTATAACTCCAGCTCCAGGGTATCCAACACCCTCTTCCAGCCTCCAAAGGCATCTGGACTCAAGTGCACATACCCCTACACAGTCACAGACACATACACATAATTTAAAAAATAAAACAAATCTTTAAAAAATAGAGAGACAGACACACACAGACACATGGACACAGAGAGGGAGGGAGACAGGGAGGGAGGGAGAGAGGAGAGAGAGAGAGAGAGAGAGAGAGACCGTGGTGGTGGTACGTACTTTTAGTCCCAGCACTTGGAAGGCAGAGGTGGGCAGATCTCTGTGAACTTGAGACCAGCTTCATCTACATAGCAATTTCCAGAGCAGTTTAGGGCTACATACCGAGACCTGGTCTCAAAATAAACAAATAGGGAGCTGGATAGAGGGCTCAGCAATTAAGAGCACTGGCTGCTCTTGCTGAGGGTCTGGGTTTGGTTTCTAGCAACCACATGGCAGCTAACAACTGTTGATAACTCCAACAGGGAATCTGATGCCATCTTCTGCCCTCCATGGACATTGCATACACATGTATGTACTTATATACATGCAGTCATAACACTCATACACATAAAATAAAAATAAACTAAAAAAATAATAAATAGGGCTGGTTTGGTGAAACACACCTTTAATCCCAGCACTTGGGAGGTTGAGGTAGGCATATCTAAGTGAGATCAAGGCCAACTTAGTTTACATAAAGAGTTCCAAGACAGCTGTGGCTATGGGGAGACCCAGTCTCAACTCCCCTCCTCCACAAAAACCCACTAAAAGCCAAATAACTAAAAAATAATAAATAGGGCCAGTTGTGGTGACACACATCTTTAATCCCAGCACTTGGGAGGCAGAGGCAGGCAGATCTCTGTGAGTTCAAGGCCAGGCCAGTTGGGGCTGCAGGGAGACCTTGTCTCAAAAAAGAAACCAAAAAAGTAAAAAGGCACACACCTATAATTGCATTGCTCTGAGAGACAGAGGCAGGAAGATCACTGAGCTGTGGAGACCAAGGAATACAAAAATTGGGGGTGGTGGGAGGTCGGGGGGTGGAGAGATGGCTCAGAAGGTAAATGCACTTGCTATGCAAGCTTTATGACCTGAAATTGGTCCTTGGAACCCACATAAAGGTAGAAGGAGAGAACTGATTCCACAAAGTTGTCCTCTGACCACCACATGCCACACCCACACCCACAATCATATACACAATAATAAATAAAATTTAAAAAGGATAAAAATGAAAGAGAGGACTTTTTTTTTTTTTTTTGGTCTTTTTGAGACAGGGTCTCCCTGTAGTCCCAGCTGTCCTGGAACTCACTATGTAGACCAGGCTGGCCTTGAAGTCACAGAGATCCGCCTGCCTCTGCCTCCCACAGGCTGGGACTACAGGTGTGCGCCACCATGCCCGGCTGAGAAGACTTTTAAAGTCACACAAGCCACATGTAGCTCTACTCCCCAACCCATCATGTGCCTATAAGGCAGATGGACCTGGACACAGCCAAATGTCAGCTCACAGACCTACACTAGCTGTTCCAAACAGTCATATAGGAGGTCTGGAGGAGAAGGGATCTAGGGGCCTCCCTTCCTCCATGACCCCACTGTGTAACAAGTCACACAGGCAAGATCACACAGACTCCCAAGGGCAGAGCCTTTCCACCCACAGCCACAGATATTTACACCCAATTTTGAATCCCCATTTCCCCTGGATAAAGACATCCAGGGTCACATGAGGAATGTGGGGACACCTCCCCTCAGCACAATGGGATAAAATCCCAGGGTCGGGGGGCCTTAGTGGTCTCTGAGATTTGTCAGTGTATCAAAGACACATTTGCAAGGGCTTGGAAGGGGGTGTTGCTTAGTAGTAGAATGTATACCTAGCACACATATGGCCCTAGCTTCCATCCTTAGCACATCCTACAACAAGGACCCCTGTTTCATCAACTGAAACCACTTGTGATATTTTCCTTCCTTCACCTGTATATTAATATATTAAGACAAGCTCCTGGGGCGGGAGAGATAGCTCAGTGTTTAAGAGCACTGGTTGCTCTTGCAGAGGACCCAGGTTTGGGTCCTAGCACCAGGACCAACATGGCAGCTCACAACCATTAATAACTCCAGTCCCAGGGGGATCCAACATCCTCTTCTGGCCTCTGTGGGCATTCCGTAACACAGGGATGCTTATATGCATGCAGGCAAAACACTCATACACATTAAAATAAAATAAGACAAGCTCCTGAGGTAGCTTTAGCAGCACATACCTGTGATCCCAGCATTTGGGTGGTTATGAATTCAAGGCCAGCTTGGGCAACATAGTGAGACTCTGTCTGAAAAATGGTCCCTCATCAATGCTTCCCTCCCTCTTCCTGTGTTGTGTGCAAATACACCCAGACTTACACTCAGGTCTCACATTCAACATTACCATCAACACACAAATCCCTATCCCTACATTTGGCAGGATTGAAGGTAGATGTTCTCTTCATAGACAGGCCTAGAGAGGGGACACACCCAGCCTGGCACAAAAAGCATTCTATACCATTCCCAACCTTAAGATGTCCACCCATACACGGATGTGTGTGTGGAGGGCAGAGGCTCAGGGGTTTGACTTAGGAGGAGGGCTGCTCTGAAGTTCCCATGAGTCTCTTGGCATTCATATCCTGCTCACCATCAGTGGGCATGGCTCAATACTGCACCAAGGCCCAGACAGCCAGGACGCTGTGTTCCCAGGCTGGCAGATGTCCACCCCGCCCAGGATAATTAGGAACTGGCTTAGGCTAGCCACTCTGGGACCCATGTCTCCGCTGTCCAGCTGCTGGACAGACTATAAATTCTGCAGCAAGGCAGCTGGGCAGTGCTAGCTGTGGGAGCTGGGGACCTGAAGGGGCTGTTCTTTGTTAGACTCTCCCCACTCCCCAGGACAAATCCTTATGCTCCCTGCACCTAGCCTCTGCAGCTCATCTTTTCTCCTCACACACTGTTGGACCCCCATAGGGCTGGAAGACAGGTTGCCCAGGTGGGTTCACATTCCTTATCACTAACTGCACATGACTCCTCGGCGGTCTGTTACTGGTGCCGGAAAAAACCTGTGTATTTCATCTCCTCTGCTTGTAAGCCAGCTGATGAAATGACTGCTGTTATTCCCACCAGCCTAATGGGCAAACTGAGGCTCTGATGACATAGTGAAACAGGATCTGGATCCAGGCAATGTGGACTTATCTGGGGTCCTTGATTCTGGCTGCATCCCCATTTGTTTACCCTTGCCACCTCAGTGTGTCCCTACCTGCTAGCACAAGCCCTGTGGAGTACCATGGGGAGACACGTCTGGGCTAGTGGATGGATTCCCCTTCAATGCATTCCCTGGCATGCCCAGACCCTGGGTGTACTCCACTTCCTGAGTCTGAATGTTAAACACTCCTTCCTGTTCCCTCATGGCAACCAGCCCTGGCTTAGAACTTGTAAACACTCAAGGTGATTCCCTATCCCTTGTCTCTCAGGTGGACATAACAGTAACTATTCAGCTGCTGCAGGAGTAAGGGCAGGGAACAGGGGATCAGGTAAAGGCCTTCAGGAGGGTATGTGGTCTGAGAATTTGGGACATAGCTCAGGAAGTGGTTACTTTGGTCTGCAGTTTAAGGGCTACAGGAGTGAAGCTCAAACAGATGGAAGAATGTAGTGGGGACAGGTCAAGCCTTCAGGGAAGTGAGTCCTCTGCCTGTCCTGAGCCTCTACTGCGGCAGCCCAGAGTGGGAGAGGCTGAAAGCATCCCATGGAAGCACGAACTAGGGGAGTGTGTATACAGATCGCTAATCCCCAGCCTGGCAGGCCCAGTCTCTGCCCAGGGCGCCCACTAATTCCCAAACCAAACAGCAGGCGGTGCTGGGCTCATTGCCTGCTTAATCCTCTGCCACCAGCCTGGGGCTGGCCATGGGTCCTCCAGATTCCCACACTCTTGAGTTTCCAAGGAGTAAACAAATCCTCTTCTCTTCCATTACAGGTTGTGCAACCCTAAGAAGGCGATCTCTAAGACAAGGCATCTCCTAACCCAAGACATACTCCTTCCAGGATGGCCACAACAAACACATCATCTCACTAGGTTTGTTATGGGCCTGTGTGTGTGTATGTACATGCGTGCGTGTGTGCGTGTGTAACTTGTGCAGAGCAGGGCCTATGCAACTGGGTGCTTAGCCACCTACACTTCCGTTAACAAGCACAATTATTTAAGATTATTTTATTGAGGGGCATGAGGCAGGGAGAGGTAGGGGGCATTTCAGCACGCTGTAGCCCCACCAGGGGGAACAGACCCCCTCCCAGCCTCCCACTCCCTAAGCGACTCCCCCTGTACTATGGGAGACTTTGTGCAAACTCTGCCCAGGTGGGGAGTGAGGAGGGTGTGAAATGGCAGCGGCTGGGACTGGTGGCGGTGCTACTGGGTACTGGGGGGCTTGTACGGCTCCAGAAGGAGGGCAGAAAAGGTATTGACCTTGTCTGCCCCCCGCACCTCGTGGGGCAACAGCGGCAGCTTCACAATGTGGAAGTCTTCATACAGGTCCTCCATCTGCAGCCAGGGCAGAGAGCAGAAAACATCAGGGGTAGGATGGCAAAGACAGAAGAGGTCTACCAGGGGGCAGGAGCCTTTTGGTGTGGTAAGGAATGGGGCCAGCAAACCAAGGACTAGACTAGACTTACTGCTCCCCGCTGCAGTCCTCTGCAGGATTCAAGGGGAGGCTCAGGACTGGTGAGAGCATAGGCCATCAAGCATCAGGAGCAGCTGTAGGTCAGTTAGGGCCAGCTGCAGGGTAGGATGGCATTGTCTTGCAAACAGAAGGCTACAGGTTCTTAGCTTTGCTTAGTGAGACCAAAGTACTTTTTCTGATACAGTGTCTCAGGTAGCCCAGGCTAGTCTCTATTTGCTGTGTAGGCAAGAATGACCTTGAACTTCTTTTTTCCTTTTTGTCTTTTTGAGACAGGGTCTCCCTGTAGCCCCAGCTGGCCTGGATTCTCTATGTAGACCAGGCTGGCCTCAAACTCAGAGAGATCTGCCTGCCTCTACCTTGTGAGTGCTGGGATCAAAGGCATGCGCCACCATGCTAGGGGACTTTACTTCTGATCCTCCTGCTGCCACCTGCTGTGTACTGGGATTATAGGCATTCACTACCGCATCTGGTTTATACGGTACTGGGGATGGAACCTAGGGATTCAGGTATGAAAGCTCTCTATGAACTGAGCTACATCCTCAGCCATCCAAAGTGATAATAAAGGGTTAGAGAATATAGTAAAAGGCACAGGTTCTTGGCTGGGTGGGCAGACAAACCTGGTCCAGGTACTTGGCCTGGATCTTGTGGCGGGCCTCACACATCTTGCAGGGTTTTTCAGGGTCAGGGAAGACGAGCTGGTTGACAATAATGTTGTGGGTATCGATCTTGCACTTAGCTAGCTCCTGGATTAGCCGCTCTGTCTCATACAAGGACAAGAACTCAGCAATGCACACACAAATGAAGGTCGTCTGTTCCTGCAGGACACAGAAAGGACAATAGGGGAAGGGCTCTGGCCACCCCTGTTCCCATGAGCCTCTCATCTCACTGCCTGCTGAACTACAACTCACAGGGTCCTTGAACTGTTCACTGACGGATCGAATGACAGGCAGTGTCTCTTCTAGCTTGGAGGCCAGCTGATCGGCATTCATGTCCCCCAGGCCTAGCATGTTGCACATCTGTGGGGATGATGATGGGACAGGCTTGACATCTCCCTAGACCTATCAGACCCCCTGGGTTGGGAATTACTGAATACTGAAACATTTCCATCGAAGATGTGAGCCCTGGAGCTGGCTGGGGGTAGGTGTGATCTCAGCTCTGTAACTTTGGGGGAAACATGGCCAAGTTGTTTGATCCCCCGCCCCCCAGCTTGTTTCCCCATCTACATGCCTTACCTCCAAGAGCTGCTGTGCTACATGAGCTGTCACATGCCCCATTATAATGCAGTGCTGGGCACTTAGATCCTCAGCAAGCACCACTACCTGAGGCTGGAGGGAGGCACATGCATGTTCCAGGGATAGATATGGAAGTGGCCACAAATGTCATGGGACTGACAACTCACAGAGCCATTCTTGGGCCCTCAATTTTTTTTTAAGGGTATGTGCCATCAAAGTGAGAACTCCATTTGACAGACAAGGGGAGGCCCACAGAGGTGAAGAGATTTGCATGAGGTCACACAGTGGTTTGTACATTAGTATAGGGGGCAAGATGTGGAGGGAAGTGGGCCACTTTTTGGTGGGTAGAGCCCAGCATGCAGGTGGAGGAGACATGGATACCATCCCTCTTGCCCTGCCTTGTAGAAGAGGGTCCCACCCAGTGAGGCGCTCTGACAGGAGGAGGGGCATGGGGTGCCTGCCTGTGAGATGAAGGGGCTGATCTGGTTCTTGATCTGCATGAGGCGGCCCAGGCCCCGCTCCACGATGGTGGGGAAGTTCAGGAGCCTGAGTGTGTGGCCCGTGGGTGCCGTGTCGAACACTACCACTGAGAAGTTCATGCCCTTCACCAGCCTGAGGGGAGACGAGGGTCAGGCTTGCACTGGGGACCTTCCCCAGGGCAGGGAACCAACACCCCCAAATCCACTCCTCCATGTCCCCAGCATCCAGGCTGACCTCATGACCTCAGCATAGCTCATTGCCTCATCAATGCCAGGGAAGGCGCTCATGGCCTCCTGCATCATCTTCTTGCCCATGCTTAGCATGTTGTCTTCCTCGAAGAACTCATCAGGGAGTTCTGCCACGCCCAGACTGGGGTCGATCTCCTAAGGGCAGAAGGGACCAGACTCAGGCTGCTCTGATGACTGATGGTATCCCAGGGGGTGTCCCCGTCTGAGCCCAGGGTCAGAGGAAGCCTGTGCAGGGCTCTAACCACATAGGACCTGTTCCAGCAATGGTCACATCTTCACAATCAAATGAGAAATTGCAAACTGGGACAGGGAGGTGGGAGTAGGAGGGACAAGCTAGAACCCAGGTCTACCACAGGGCTATCTATATCTGTCACCTGAAACTTGCCTCCCCAAGATACTTCCACAGCTGACCCTGACCACTTCCAGACCATTCCTCTAACATGGGTCATCTTTTATATGCTTTTAAAAATATTTATTATTTTTATTTTATGTGTATGAGTGTATTGCCTGCAAGTGTGTAAGTGCACCAATGTCGTGCAATGCCTGAGGAGTCAGAAGAGGGTGCTGAATTTCCCTGGAACTGGAGTTACGAACAGTTGTTAGCTGCCATGTGGGTGATGGGAATTGAACCTGGGCCTCTGCAAGAGCAGCCAGTGCTCTAACCACTGAGCCATCTCTCCAGTCCCTAATATGCTTGTTTAATTTTTAGTTTTTTTTTTCTTTAAGAGACAAAGTCTCACTATGCAGCTGAGGCCAGCTTTCCTCAGCCTCCTGAGTATTGGATTATAGGTATCTGCTACCAGGCCTGACTAGCCTCAATCATTCTGAAACTCTGTAGGTCACCTTGACGTTGTCTTAGGTTCCTGCCCCTTTCACTGACCCTATTGGTCTGTTGGAGATGGAAACAAGGCCTTGAATAAGCTAGGTCTGTGCTCTACTACCAAGTTATGCCCCTAGCCCCTCACTGGTGGATTCTAGGCAGGAGCTCTACCACTGAGATTCACCTCAAGCCTTAGCCTGTCCTGTTATATAGACCAGGCTTCATGGACAGCATCTGCAAATTCTCCCTCATCTCTGTTGAAAGGCTCTCCACTCTGCATTTCACAGTTCTCTGGTATTGCCTCATCTGGTGGTGGTTCATACCTACCAGTCAACAGCTGCCCCTTATTCCTACTGATAGATCTCTAATGGGCACTTAAAAGCCACAATTCTGCTGGGTGTGGTGGTGCACCTCCTGAAATCCCAGCACTGGGGAGACAGAAGCAGGTGGATTTCTGTGAGTTCAAGGTCAGCCTGGTCTACATAGCAAGCTCCAGGCCAGCTGAAGCGACAGGGAGACCCAGTCTCAAAAAGACCAAAAAATGGGGGGCTAGAGAGATGACTTAGTGGTTAAGAATGCTGGTTGTTCTTGCAGAAGACCTGGGTTCGAATCCTAGCACCCACATGGCAGCTAACAACTGTCTGTAACTCCAGTTCCAGGGGATCCGACGGCCTCTTCTGTCTTCCTTGGGAACTGCATGACATGGGTGCACTTACCGACATGCAGGCAATAGACTCATGCACATTAAAAAAAAAAAAAAAAAAAGCCACAATTCTGCATACCACTCTCAGAAGTCTTTCTGTAGACGCCCCTTGCCTTAGCAAGAAAAAGATGCCACTGGCTGGACCCGGTAGTACAGGCTGTGATCACAAATAGGAGGCTGAGCCAGGAAGAGTTACAAGTTCCAGGCCTATCTTGGCTACAGAGTGAGCTTGAGCCTAGCCTGGATAACTTAAGAGAAATGGGTCAGTGAGAAAGACACTTGCTGTGTAAGCCTAGAGACCTGAGTTTGATCTTGGACCCACTAAAGGTGGAAGAAAAGAACCAACTTCACAAAGCAGTCCTCTGACCTCAATGTGTGCAGCGGCATATGTCCCCCACCCTCCATCATGCACACATACACACAATGAATAAAGAAAAAAAAAAAGGGAGTTGGAGAGATGGCTCAGTGATTAAGAGTACTGGCTGCTTTCCCAGAGGATTCCCAGCCATGCAGTGGCTCACAACCATCTGCAACTCCAGTTCCAGGGGATCTGATGCCCTCTTCTGGCCTCTGAGGGCACCAAGCATGCAAGAGGTACACTGACATACATGCAGGCAAAATATTCATACACATAAAATAAATAATTTTTTTAAAAAGCAATCTTAGGCATCATGGCAAATACCTGTCCTCCCAGCACCTGGGAAGTGGGGAGGCAAGATCAGAAGTTCAAAGTCAATGGTGCATGCCTTTAATCCCAGCACTCGTAAGGCAGAGGCAGGCAGATCTCTGTGAGTTCTAGGCCAGCCTGGTCTACATAGTGAGTTCTGGGCTAGCTGGGGCTACAGGGGTGGCAATCAAGGTCATCCATGGCTATACACTGAAGTTTATATTGGGCTACATGAGACTCTGTTTCGAAAAACAAAACAAAGGGAACTGGAGAGATGGCTCTTGCAGAGGACCAGGGTTTGGTTCTCAGCAGGTAACAGGTAACTCACAAGGGCCTGCAACTTCAGTTCCAGGGAGATTTAGCTCGTTCTTTTGGGCTCTGCAGGCACTGCACATATAGACAAGCAGGCATGAATACTTACACATTAAAAAGCTTTAAAACAAAACAAAGTATGAGGGCTGGGAAGATGGCACAGTGGATAAAGTGCTTGCCATGAAAGCACGAGGCTCTGAGGTGGATCACCAGAACCCACATGAAGCTGAACTGCTGTTGGAGAGATTGGAGGTGGAGATGGGACAATCACTGGAGACTCTTGGGCCACCCTGCCTGGTGTACACAGTGGTAAACAAGAGCCCTGTCTCCAAACTAGGTGGAAGGCAAGGGCCAGCATCTGAGGTTGTCCTCTGATCTCCATAGTGGTCCTGTGGCATACAGGCATGGACGCATGCACACACAAAGATAAAAACAGACAAAGCTTGGCAATCTCTTGTGAGACTACTATGTCATGTATGACCTGGTTATATCTCCAGCTTCCTTGTTAACTCTTCCTGCTTCTACTTGCAATCCAATCTCTACATGACAAATAGACATGACTTGGCTTTTTGTTGTTACTGTTGTTCAGGTTTCCCATGTAACCCTGGTTGGCCTAGAACTCACTATTTAGACCAGACTGGCCTTGAATTCACAGAGATTTGCCTGCCTCTGTCTCCCAAGTGCTGGATTAAAGGTGTGTGTAAGCAACACAGCTTTAGACATAACTTTTCCAAAGTATGAACTTGAGAGCTGGGGATGTAGTTGACCACTGGCCTAGCATGCTTCAGGTCCTGGGCTCCATCCCAAGTACCAAAACAACAGCAAAAATATGAGTTTGGGGCTGAAGAGATGGTTCAGTGGTTAAGAGCATGGACTGCTCTTTCAGAGGATCTGAGTCCACTTTTCAGCACCCATGTCAGGCAGCTCACAAAAGCCTGTAAATGAGGCCCCAGGGTAATCAACACCTCTCTCCTCTACCTCCCCCGCCTCTGCCGGACAGCACTCATATGCATAAACCCCCTCCCCCAAAAGCCAAAAACACCCCCCAAAAACCCAAACAAATAAACCCACAAACACAGGAGTTCGTCCATGGCAGTGCCCTGTTTAATAGCTTCCATTAAGGGCTGAGCATGGTGGCACACACCTTTAATCCCAGCACTTCAGAAGCAGAGGCAGGTACATCTGTGTAAGAGTGAGGTCAGCCTGGTCTACATAGTGAGTTCCAGGCCAGCTGGGGCTACAGGGAGACCCTGTCTCAAAAAGACCAAGCCCCCCCCCCCGCCCAAAAAAAAACAACCTTCCACTAGGCATGGTGGTACATGTCTGTAATTCCATATTACTCTAGAGGCAGAGGCAGGAGGATCAGGAGTTCAAAGCCAGCTTAGTCAACAGAGACCCTGCCTCAAAATAAACAACAAAACAGTATTTTAGTAAACTTAGACTCCAAGACAAACTGCTCAGCACTGCCTGCAAAGTCCTGCTGCAAGCACTCGGGTTGGTCTTCCTCTTTCCCTTCCTCGGCTCCAGTCGTTCTCCCTCCTTCTTCCTCCTTAAGATTTCTCATTTGTTCCTCTGGGGATATGTTGGGGAAAGGGTGACACTAAAGAGATGAAGATGTAAACTAGGCATGGCTTGGTGGCTGCTGGTATGCCCATGAAAAGATCTGATGCAACCTTTGCTGGAAGTGGAGAGCCCAGTCCTGCTTTACTCACCATAGCAAAGAGGTTGTCATAGCCTTTGACCTTGGTAGGCACCTTGGAGAACTTCTGGTCAAAAGCATCTGAGATGTTGTGGGCTGGGTCTGTGGAGATGATCAGAACACTCTCACGCCCCTTTGACAGCTGTACTGCCAGGCTGCAGCTACACAAAGGAAAGAGGGCAGGTAGTGAGGAGCTGGCTCTGGTCTCCCAGTCTGTAACAGGGCTTGTGGGTCATGCAGCAGAGTCCTGGATCAGCCGGGATCCTAGGAAGAGGATCAAGCCTTAATCCTTGTAGAAATCAACTCCTGACCTTAATTCTGAACTGGACTGGCGTGCAATATTCAGTTGACTGATTCAGCCTGCCCTAGTGCTTGCTTCTGCTTTGTGGGGCACATAGTGGCATGATCGTGTTGTCCAGCCAGTGCAGACTGCTTTCCCTCCCTCATTGCACTTGTTCTGGACAATTTGCCCGGCCTCCCGGTATACTGAGGTACCATAATCTTATGCCTTTTTCCACTGCCTTCCACGCCTTCGGGCGCCGGGCATCAAATGTGTAAGGTTCCTCAGACTAGGCCAGCTTGCCTTGGTGCCCCTCACCCTACTCTGAGCTCCCTGCAGTACTGTCCAGCCAACTGCTGCATTTAAATGCTCCTCCGCACTCCTCTATGCGCTGGATTCATTGTAGTCTAGTACTGGAGCCCCCAAAGGGGCCAATCGAAGAGAGCATCATGCCTACATTTAGGAGTTCTCTTGCGCTGGATGAAGTAACTTTCGAAGTACAACTCAGAAGAGCCCGGCTCAGCTTGCTTTGCCCAGCTCCGGTGGAAAAGCACCCAGTCCCTATCCTCCCTTTCGTCTGGTGGTAAATCCCACCCACCTTCTCCGCCCCACCAGAGCCTCCTTACCTGCAGGTGGTCTTACCCACGCCACCCTTGCCCCCGACAAAAATCCACTTAAGGCTGCGCTGCTCGATGATGTTACTGAGCGTGGGTTCCAGCGGCTCCACATCAGGCGCATCCTCGAACTCCTCTGCCTCAACCCCCCACCCAGCCGCCCCTGCCGCCATCTTGGAGCCGGCTCACGTGACCAAGCGGGGCGCACCACGTACAAAACGCCTTCAGGGGAAATGTGTCTAACACATTCCGTGGAGGCTGGGAGCTTGAATTAGTTTTCTCTTGCATCGACTTTTAGAAGACAATAGAACTCATATTTTCACCGTCTTACGAGTCTAGAGATCACTTTGGTGATCGCGTCTCTGTATTTTTTCCAAGAGTTCCCCTGTCTACTGAACATACTGGTATGATCCACGCTGATTGGCCCTAAGTCTTGCGGCACTCTTCTCATTGGCTATGCCTTTTCTTACTTCCAGTAGTCAGGTTGACGTCCGAGTAGCTGCCAACCTCGCCTTAGCAACCAGCCAAACAGCCTGTCCAAGTGAAGCGCCGAGGTGGCTCTATTCTATAGACCTTCCTGGCTCGATTCTGCAGGCTCAGTTTCCTGACAATCATTTCCCCCTGTCTCCACTTTGGGCCCCAACATCGCAGGTCTCTCCCTTCTGTTTCTCACTTGGCTGCGAGCCTCAAATCAGTCACGAACAAACTGATTAGGTGTCTGGGGACAGGGTTTGGAGCTGAAGGTCGGTTAAAGGCCAGAAGACTCTAGTCGTGTGCCAGGATCCGCAGACAGTCGTCGAGTGTGCTCGGAACCATCATGGGCAGTAACCATACCTGCAATCGTGGTCGTTATAGAGTCCTTTAATTTCTGAAAAACGTCTTTGCACTTGGCTCTCTGCTGTGTGTGTGTGTGTGTGTGTGTGTGTGTGTGTGTGTGTGTGTGTGGTGTGCTCCAAATATTTGTTTAAAATACAGAATTGGACCAAATGTGATGGTCAGTAAAGGGAAGAATGAAACTATTTACACTATTTTCTCTAAAATTTGATACTATGAAAATTCTAATTTTATTTGTTCAGCAAAAGAACTGATCCTCTGTCCTGGAGAAGGAATACAGGTAGGATTCCAGTCCCTTGATGCAGACCCCAACACTCAATCTTAGTGACTCAGTCTAAGAAACATCTTCAGCTTCATTTGAGTACTCTAGCCCCCGCAATACCACATTCTCAGAGTCCCTAGATCCACGCAGCCAGCTGTAGTCCCATTCCAAGATAACAAACAGCTTTATTTTGGAGACAAGTGCCCAACCTAAAGACACCAGGTTAGATATGCTCTCTGGCCCTAGATAGGAACTTGCCCACCCAAGTTCCGAAGAGTCAATTGAGCATACAGTCCCCAAGCAAGGTCTTTTCACTCACGAAGATATCTGGAAAGCTAATGCTCTCTCAGCCCCTGGAGGGAACCCCAGTTCAGCAAGCCAGCTAGTCCAGGCCCCAGAGGACGGTCCCATTCCTACAGGATCTTCAGTCAAAGAACTCTTGTCTGGCAGGATTAGGAAAATTCGAGGGGCGGGGCCAGGCCACTGGTGGTGGTGGGGGTGTCAGACCGCTTTTCCCGGCATGCATTGCTCGGGAATAAGCGAGTCCGGCGCCAAGCGCGAGGCCTGAGCGCCCTTCCCGAAGTCCTTTGCGCGGCACTTGGCGACAAAATGGCTGCCCGAGGGAGACGGGCGGAGCCTCCGGGTCGGGAGGCGCCAGGCCCGGCGGGCGGCGGCGGGAGCCGATGGGCTGAGTCTGGGCCAGGAACGTCACCCGAGAGCGGAGACGATGAAGTGTCGGGCTCGAGTCCCGCGTCGGGCGGCGTGAACTTGTTCGCCAACGACGGCAGCTTCCTGGAGCTGTTCAAGCGGAAGATGGAGGAGGAGCAGCGGCAGCGGCAGGAGGAGCCACCCCCGGGCCCGCAGCGACCCGACCAGCCGGCCTCCGCCGCCGCGGGCCCAGGGGGTCCGAAGAGGAAGGGCGGCCCGGGCCCCACGCTCAGCTTCGTAAGGAGCCGCGGGGGTGGGGGCGGGCGCCAGGGCCCTCCTTGCTAGGGGGAGTCGGGCCCGGGAAGGGGCGTCAGGGTCGAGAGGAGTTTTTCAGCCCTGATGAACGGTTCCTCCGGGTCCTCCGCCGAGGATGCGGATCCTGGATTCCCGACAAGAGGTGTTTCGGGGCGGGAGTGGGGACTTGCAGGTCCTACCCGCGGGAGCTGGGGAACTGCATTGGAAGCAGCATTCTGGGGATAGGGAACCTTAGGGACTAGGATTCCTGTTTGAGTGGTACCCAGACTTTGAATAGTCGACAAGGAAGTGGGGGTTCGTTAGACTTCAAACCGCGGACTATAGCCGGGTGTGGTGGCACCACGCCTGTAATTCCAACATTCTGGAGACAGAGGCAGGAGGACCGAGAATTCGAAAGAAATACCCTGTCTCAAAAACAAAAACCCCATAAAACACTCATACAAAACCAAATCACCGACTGTGCGGTCTTAGAAAGATCGCTCGACTCTTCTCAGTACCATCCAGTGTCCGTTTATTGAGCACCTACCTTACCTTGTGCTTCAGGGGTGAGTTTGACAGATCGTTGCATGTTGGTGCCTCTGCTGGCCTACCCTGAATTTATCAACCTCATTGCACCTTTTGATGTGAGTGTTCCGCCAAGTGGTCCTAGAAAACTGCTTAGTACAGATTTATAGGAAGGATTAGACTAGTGGTTCTCTTTTGGGAAGAGTCTCCTCATCTCCACATATTTGGTAGGCTGGGGACATTTTTGGTTGTTAAAACTGGGAGGAGATGCTAGTGACATCTATGGGTAGATTTCAAGGATGCTGTTTGACATCCTACAACACATGGGATAACAAAGAATGATCTAGCTGAAAATGTCATTGTAGCAGGTTGAGGAGCCTGGTGGGATGGCATATACCTGTAATTCCATCACTGTGGCAGAAGAGGCAGGAGGACTTCTGAGAGTTTGAAGTCAGCTAGGGCTACCTAGCAATTTGCTGTCTACAAAAATAAATGATAAGAAAACAGTATGTGGCCACCTGTATTCGCAACTACTCAGTAGCAGAGACAAGGAGGATCGTAGAAAGAGTTTAAAGCCAGCCTGAGTAACTTAATGAGACCCTGTCTCAAAATAAAAACAAGGTTTTGGGATGAAGCTCAGTGGTAGATCTTCAGTACTGCACAAAAAAGGTGGTGTTTGGGGTGAATAGTCCCAGCAGTACCTGAAGCCTACTTGAAGGGTGAGTACAGGATGATGTCTTGCATACAGGGTGGATAAAGGATGATGTCTTGGAGGCTCCCAGTTAAGGGGAGAAGATGGGATACCACGAGGGGGAAAATCCAGAACAAGATCCTTCTTAGATGAAGGGGAAAGTGTCAGGATCTGGGCTGGTATGACACTCCAGAGTGAAGGCTGGGAATGGGAGCAGCAGTAGTTGTCATGATTCTCAATTGTTCATGGGGAGCCATTGTGGTTATACCCCTAACAAAGACAGGCCAGATGAGGGCAGGAGAGTCAGCACTGCTTCGTGGATCAGATGCTCCTAGTGGCTTAGCACTACCTGACCTTGAGTCTAACTCTCTTGTTTGCTTGCAGCCTGACCCCTTCTTCCTAGAGATTTGTCTTCAGCTCTAAAATGGGACTACTCTTAACCTTCAAATAGTGTAACTATGAAAGGAGATAACAAATTCATAGCACTCTAGGGCTGGAGAGATGGCTGGAGAGCACTGGCTGCTCTTGCAGAGGACCCAAGTTCAGTTCCCAGCACCCATATGGCAGCTTACAACTGTCTATTACTTTAGTTCGAGGGGATCCAGTGCTCTCTTCTGACCTCCGTGGGCATTGCATGACATGAGTGCACTTACATACATGCAGGCATTACACTCAAAGTAAAATAAAAATAGTAAGTAAGATTTTTTTATAAAAAAAACAAATCCATAGTACTCTGTACATGGCTTGGCATACAGTAAGTGCTCAATAAAAGGAGCTGTCCTACCTATATGGTCCGTGCCAGGAGAGGATGAGGTCTGGGCAGAAAGTGAGGATAGAATTGGGCCCTAGTGAGGTGGGTGCTCCTGTGGCTCCCTGGGAGGGTAGCCTGGGGCCCAGTACTGCCTGGGAATGGTGGCCCAGGGCAGGCGCTGAGTCGCTTGTGCTCCTCTCTGATTGCTGCGCAGGTTGGCCGGCTGGTGGAGCTGGGCGTGGCGTCGCTAGGAAGGTGTAGTGGGCCTCAGCACCGCCAAGGGCGGGCCCGGCTCCTGTAACCCTTGCAGTCTTCTGTCCCTTCACCCAGGTGGGCAAACGCAGAGGCGGGAACAAACTAGCCCTCAAGACGGGAATAGTAGCCAAGAAGCAGAAGACGGAGGATGAGGTGAGTGGGCCTTGGGATGCCACCCTTCCTGACTATTCCTCTAGCATCAGTTCCCATGGTCAGGTTTTGGATTTGGTACAGTGGGAGGGACCTCAGATAACTTGCTTTTGCCTATCTTTACCTCAAATCTAGTCCTTAGGGTGGCACTGGGGATACGTCAGTTGTCTCACCTCATTCCTAATCCTGTTCCTGGCCTCTTGGGCATCCTTCTCCCAATCCGTCCTTGTCGTCCCCCTTTCTTCCTCACAGGTATTAACAAGTAAAGGTGACGCGTGGGCCAAGTACATGGCAGAAGTGAAAAAGTACAAAGCCCATCAGTGTGGTGATGATGATAAAACTAGGCCCCTGGTAAAATGACCCCTTCCTGGGTACCCACAGCCTGGGACTCTCTGCGATGTATATAACTATTTAATGCGGCAGCGGCGGCAGCCTTCCCAGAGGACTGATACACAGAAGGAAACCGAGGCGCTTCCTGCGGCCGTGGACCATTCTCCAGGACTCTTTTTTTTACCTTGAGCACTTGCCTCCTGAGACTTACTAGACAGTGGTTTACTGTCCCCTTTCTTCCCACCACCTTGCTCTCTGATTCTTTCTGTCTTTCTCTTCTTGCCTTCTCCCCACCTTAGCTGTCACTTCTGAGAAGTAAAGAAACTGACTTAGTGCTGGAGTTGTTTGCTTGCTTTGTTGTCTTTATGTGTGAACACCAAGCTAAGCCCTTTCCTATTACAGGTAACCACATCTGCCAAAGCTGGGGTTGGCCCATTCCGGAGGAATGAGAGGAGTTTGCCCACCTCTGTCCTGGGCTCTTCCCTCCCCCAGTGATTGTGGCACCTTAAGTCCTGTCTTTTTAGTACTTTGGAGACAGGGTCTCATGTGACCCAGGTTGGCCTCCTGCCTCAGATAACCTGCTTCTACCTATCTTTACCTCAAATCTAGGCCTAAGGGTGACACTGGGGATAGATAGGTTGTTATGTTGGCATGGCTATGGGAATGGACTGCCCTCCAAGTCTCTTTACAGTCTCATTTTGGCTATGACTTGGGTTGTACTTCAGTGGGAGAATGCTAGCCTACCATGCATAAATTCTGGGTTCAATCCCCAGCATTGCATGTGTGTCTTGTGTTTTGGCTAGGCCAAAGCTGTTATTCAGACACTGACTGAGCATCTTTTTACTGACTGAGCATCTTCTATATGCCAGGGCTTTTGTGGGCTCCTGGGACCACAGCATTGAACAGATCACGCTATCTGTCCTTATAGAAGGCGATGTCAATAAAAGGGCCCCCAGAGGAGCCCAGAGCTCCTCAACCTGGTAGATCATTCATTATTATCCCATGTATTGTAGGCTGTAGGATAGAGGCTTATTAGGAGTGCCGTTTTAGGTTACATTTGATCAAAGTCCTGAGGGAGTGAGGAGGAGTGTCTTACATGGAGGAATTAGCCACTATAAAGACAGGTTGGACAGTGGAAAGCTTTGATGGACCTGAGGATGGACAGACAGTTGTAGACCTGGAAGGTTGAGGTGGTGCTCCTGGCCTCTCAGATTCTATGGGGTCATTGTGTTTGCTCTGTTAACAAATGTTATGCTGGAGGCCAGGCGTGGTGGTGCACACCTTTGATCCAGCACTCTGGAGGCAGAGGCAGGCGGATCTCTGTGAGTTCAAAGCCAGCCTGGTCTACATAGTGAGTTCTAGGCCAGCTGGGACTACAGGGACCAAAAGACTCAAAAAGACCAAAAAAGTCAAATACTGTGTTGGAGCCACACCAAGGCTCATGCCTGTGATCTTATGCTTGGAAGGTACTGGCAGGTGGATCAATTTAAACTTTGGCTCATGTAGACCTTGTTTCCCCCCAAACCACATAAAAACAAAAAATAAAGTTGGTCAAAGTTGACCTCCCTGAGAAGATACCATCTGTTCCAAATCCTAAAGGAGGGAGAACAGGTAGTGAGGAGGCTCTTGAAAGTGCACTGGGCAGAAGGAACAGCAAGTGTAAAGATTCTCAGTACTTCCTAACATGCAGTAATGCTATTCTGGTTTATCTTCTACTTGGGCTCAAAAGAGAGCCTGTGGGATGGAGGTTGGATAAGGAAACAAGCTAATGGCATCTACTGTGCTGTTGTAGCCTCCTGGGAAGCAGCTTGGCCTTTATTCTGAAGTGTCAGAGGAAAGACAAGCAAAAGTCCAGGCATTTCCCTTCACCTGTGACCTGAGAAAAGTGAAAGGAGAAAAATCAAGTTCAGGTTTGGTTGTTAGCTTTTGCCTTTAACAGCTGTGCTATCCCTCTAGTCCTCAAGTTCAGGTTTGGATGAATCACAGGCCTGGCTTCCATCTATTTTCATGCCTGTTGGCTATGTACTCTGATAAATCTTCTAGCCTTTCTCTTAGGTCTTTTATCTATTATACATATGGAAACATCTCTAAATTGAAGTTCTAAAGTAAGAGCCAGGGCACAAAAGTAAAGATCGTATTTGCGGAATTGAAATTCCTGTTTTGCAGTTCTGGGGATGGAACCTGTTTTCTGTGCATGCTAGGCAAGCATTCTACTATTGATCTATATCTTGGAGTCTGTGTTTAAAGAATGTTGACCCCACCCCAATTTGTTCTTTTTTTTTTTGCATTAGAACCAGAGCTTTATTGTAGTGCATACACTTTTTGTTTTTTGAGACAGCTGTTCTGGAACTCTATATAGACCAGACTGGTCTCCATCTCAGTCAAATGCCTGCCTCTGCCTCCTGGGATTAAAGGGGTGCACCACCACTCATGGCTTGTTCTTAAAATTTAATTTTTGCTGGGCGTGGTGGCACACGCCTTTAATCCCAGCACTCGGGAGGCAGAGGCAGGTGGATCTCTGTGAGTTCAAGGCCAGCCTGATCTACATAGTTCCAGGCCAGCTGGGGCTGTAGGGAGACCCTGTCTCAAAAAGACCAAAAAAAATTTTTAAAATTTTTATGTGTATGTATATACTGCCTGCATGTGTGTAAGTACACTGGTATCTTGCAAAGCCCACAGAGATCAGAAGAGGTTTTTGGATTCCCCTGGAGCTGGAGTTACAGTTGTTAGTCACTATGTAGGTGCTGGGACTTGAACTTGAGTCCTCTGGAAGAGCAACCACTGCTGTTAACTGCCAAGCCATCTCTCCAGTTCATTTGTCTGTTTTTTGAGATGGTGTCATGTAGGCTGGCTTGGAACTCACAAAAATCTGCTTGCCTCTGCCTCCTGGGTGCTGGAATTAAAGGCATGTACTAACATTCCCAGCCCCACTTAGAGATTTTATTTTTTATTTATTTATTTTAGTCTTTTTGAAACAGGGTCTCCCTGTAGCCCCAGCTGGCCTGGAACTCACTGTATGTAGATCAGGCTGGCCTTGAACTCACAGAGATCTGTCTGCCTCTGCCTCCAAAGTGCTAGGATTAATGCCACCATGCCTGGCTTTAAGATTTTATTTTTTATTTATGCATGTATGTATGTGTATGTGACAGGTATGCTGGTGCTTCAGGAGGCCAGAAGGAGGAGGTGTCAGATGTCCTGGAGCTGGAGTTATAGGTGGTTGTGAGCCACCCATATTGGTGCTGAGAACTTGGGTCCTCTAGAAGAGCTGCAAGAGCTCTTAACCACTGAGCCCCAACAATATATTTTTTTATTTCATTCATTTACTTTCACTGTGTGTGCACACAACACATACACACCATGCATACCATAGCACATGTGGAGGTCAGAGACAACTTTCAGGAGTCCATTCTCTCCTACCATGGGAGTCCTGGAGATCAACTCAGGTTGTCAGGCTTAGAAGCAAGTACTTTAAACTACTGAGTCATCTTTCTGGCCTTTCCCTGACACTTGTTTAAGCATGGCTGGGATGAAACCTGAGGCCTCATGCATGCTGTGACTACTGTATACATTGTGAGTTACATGGTTTAGACTCAAAATGTTGACCTTTTAATCAGTGTGATTCTAGTTGAATTTAACTTTTTAGTGTATAGAGGTGCTGTGAGTATTGCATGGGATCCTATGTCAGAGAATAAGTGCTCAAAAAATAGAGAAATATATAAATACAGTACTGAGCTACATAGGAAGGCCCTGCCTCAAAGGAAAATAGGTAAAAGAAATAAAAAGCAAAGCTTGTCATGGTGACACTCACCTTTAATCCCAGCACTCCGGAGGCAGAGGCAGGTGGATCTCTGTGTTCACAGCCCGTATGGTCCACATAAGTGAGTTCCAGTCCAGCCAGGGCTATATAAACCTTGTCTTAAAAAAAAAAAAAAAAAAAAAAAAAAAGAAAAGCCGGTCGTGGTAGCACACGCCTTTAATACCAGCACTTGGGTGGCAGAGGCAGGCAGATCTCTGTGAGCTTGAGGCCAATCTGGTGTACATAGCAAGTTTCAGGCCATTTGGGGCTACAGGCAGACCCTGTCTGAAAAAGACCAAAAGAAAAAAAAATTATTAAATGGTCTCCAGGTTCCAAACGGGGCTCCACTTGACCTGGGGCAGTGCACGTGCTTGATTAAAAATATCCCCCCCACAAAAAAAACCCAAAAAATCAAACACCAAAAAGCTTCTATCGTTCTAGGCCCTCCCGGGAGCCAGTCCAACCCAGTCCAGCCCTCCAGCCCTCTTGCTTAAACTCCCAGCACCTCCATCCCTCAGTCTAAGACGCGAAATGTGGCAGTCCAGGCGCTTAGCACCATGGGACTTGTAGTTTTGGGACTCACAGGTGTGGCCACTGGGGGAGGGGCGGATAGGTGGCTCTGCGCCTGCGTAGGCAGACGGCTTCCTACGCGAGTCTTTCAAGGCGGGTTTCTGTTCCTAGGCAGGAGCTGGCTATGGTGAGAGTTATTGCTGGTCTTTTGGGGAGTTTTCCCTTGAGTCTTGGAGCGGAGCCCTACCTAGTTGCAGGCCCTAATGCTTTTCATGAGTAAACAGAGCTGGTATTGATTTTTGCTAATAGGAAGTGGCCCGAGAAACTTGTACCGCTTTTCAAGTTGAGGTATAATTGAAATGTTCTCAAAAAGACCTTCAGGACAGGGCTGGGTTGTCCTTTGGGATTAGAATCCTGGCTGATTCAGTAAATATTTGTTTAGAGAGGCACTCAAGACAGCGAAAGTACTAGATTTAGCCGTGCGGGCTAAAAGCCATGTTTTCAAAGAGAGAAACATTGCGGGTCAGGTAATGCTTAAATTGGGTTATCTCTAGTAGTGCGGACTATTATGCCCATTGAAACGGAGGCCTCCGAGTGGTAGCAGAGCGTCCACTTTTCCGGCAGGAATAGGAGGGGAAGGAATCTGGAAGTTATAAGCACCAGGGTCTCCAGTTCCAACTACAACGTTTTGCGATCGAAAGGAAACGGCGTCCCACTAACTTCAGATGGCGCGAGGATTCATGATCGTGCCCTTTCCTAATTTTTCTGGGCAAGGAATCTCATCTCACTTAACTTCAGGTAGGGAAGGGCCGGGAGGGGGGCGGTGTTAGGCCCCCTGTTGGAGCTTATTCATTTTATTTAAAAAGTTATAACCTCGCAGGGCTTGTGGCGCACGCCTTTAATCCTGGCACTCGGGAAGTGAGCTGGAGGCTAGCTTGGTCTGCATAGAGCCTGTGGCTTGAACACAGTGAGACCATGACCACCCTCCCCCACCTCCCCCCCCAAACGTGGATGCTTGTGGCTTTTTTTTTTTTTTTTTTTTTTTTTCCAAAAAAAGTTTAAAAAATATTTGGAAAATAATAAAAAAGCAGACAACGGCTCTTGTAGGAAACCAGCCCGTATCTGGGGTATACAGTCCACCCAAAACTGAGTTCTCTGCTTTTTGTGTGCAAACTTTTCAGTTTGGGGTTGCGAGGAGAAAGTTCCACTTGTTTTTTGTTTTTTTTTTTTGGCTTTTTTTGAGACAGGGTCTCCCTGTAGCCTCAGCTAGCTCGGAACTCACTTTGGAGTTGGAGGCCAGGGTGGCCTCCAACACAGAGCTCCGCTTGCTTCCGCCTCCTGAGTGCTGGGATTACAGTACCACGCCCGGCTCAACAGTTCCACTTTTAGTTTTTAAATTTTGATTAAAAAAATTTATGTGTTAAAGTGTTTTGACTGCACGTCTTAAGTGCACCCCAGCATGCAGTGCCTGCGCAGGTCAGAAGAGGGCAGCGAAGTCCCTGGAAGCGGAATTATGGAGGTTATTAGCCATGTGGAACCAAACCGGCTCCTCTGCAAGAGCTGACCGCTGAGCCATCTATCACTCCAGTCACTATTTTTTTTTTTTTTTTTTTTCTGAGACAGGGTCTCCCTGTAGCCAGAGCTGTCCTGGAACTCACTATGTAGAACAGGCTGGCCTTGAACTCATAGAGATCCGCCAGCCTCTGTCTCTCACGTGCTGGGACTACAGGCGTGTGCCACCACGCCCAAGGGTTTCCTTATGTAGTCCGGGCTCTCCTGGTGTCTGGCTATACTGTTGCCTCGCCCTCGTCCTGCGGCCGCCATGCAGGGTTGGGGGGCAGTCTAGCTCTTAGCGTAGTAAGGGCTCAGTTATGGCAGAGGGGTCCCAGACCTGTTATGCACCAGGAGCACCCCGGCACTACCGAATTCGTACCTCCAGCAAAGATCTACACTCAGGCGTGCGCCAGAAACTCAGGAAATGCTGCTAGAAGGACCTACTGGCCCAGGACGCCTAAAGGGGCGGCACCTCCACCACGTGACTCAGCACAGCTTGGGTCAGGGTTTTCCTAGTGCCAGGTCACGTGTAAGGGCTGCGTTCTCTGATTGGTTAGGCTAGGCCAGTTTGAACCGAGTACGGAATCCGAGGCGGTTCATTTACGGCCGCGTTATTTTTAATCCCTCTCTTAGGCTCCCTCCTTCCGCGCGAGTCTCTGCAGAAGCCGCAGCGCTACGCGCTGTTGCTGCCGCCCGGCCGGGTAAGTGGGCTTCGCCCCGCCAGAGGCGCCGGGACCAGGCTTGCCCGGACCTCCACCGGCCTCTGGAACTGCGCCGTGCGCGGCCTGGTCGTCGGGGCCGCGCAGAGGCGAGAAAGGCCCGGAACCCGGTTGTGCCGGATCGCGAGGCTGGGAGAACGGGCTGGGCCGGGGAGGGGGAGCCGGGCGAGCTCAGGGGGTGGGGCCTCGGCACACTGCCGAGTCGGGGGTGCAGCGAGATGCGGGCCAGTTGGGCAGCTGGGGTCGGCCTGGAGGGGCTCTGATTGGGGGAATCGTCTGGGGACGTCGCGAGGATCGGGTGTGTGTGGCAGCCTGTGTCGGCTGGGCTTGGTTGGGTGTGACTGGGGGAGCACCCCCCCCCGAAAGTTAGGGCGGGGAAGCTTGTTGAGTCTGGCGGGGAGGGGCGTCAGGCCTGGGCCTAGAAGGCTTTGCTGGGTCTGTTCGTTGAGGGAAGGCTCTCCGGGAGGTGTTGGCGCGGGTTTCCTTGGCGGAAGCTTCAGGGGTTGGACGTAATGGGTTTCCGGCCCCAGGTTGGTGGTGGGGGCTTAGCGGACCTTGATTGTGGGTGCTGCCAGAAATCTGGCAGCAGGAGTTTTGCTGACTGGGACAGAGGGTGGGAGGGGAAGAGACTTGGCCAGACTTGACTGGGGCAGGCAGTGGGCACCGGTCCTGGGGGCTTCGGTTGCGGGTTGGGCGGTTTTCACTGGCTCTCATTCAAAGAAGCTTTGGAGACCTATCCGGGCATTGCTTCCAGTCTGGTTAAGGGAAATCACTGGACTGCATCTAGGCCGGAATGGGGAGCCTCTGGCATCTGCGGAGCTTGTAGGGCTGGTTTAGGAGAGGCGGCAGAGATTGGAACAATCTGAGTGCTTTCGGAGGGTGCAACTAGAGAGCTCAGAGACCAGGAAGAGGCTGGGAGCTGCCGGGGTTTGAGGACCAGATTGGGGGGGATCCCTTGGGGACTGAGACCGCATCCGGGAGACCACGGGGGCTGGGGCGCTTGCCCAGCGGCTGCAAGGGAAGCCATAGGTGCCGCAGCCGTGGGCGGCGGAGATATGAACCTCTGTGGGAAGAGGGTTCCACGATGGGCTCGATGTGGATCGGTCGGCCCTGCCAGCTCAGGTGGCCTGCTTCCATGCCCCCACATCTGCACTCCTCAGCCCAGGACTGCGAGCTCGAGATTGGCGCAGCTGGAGGAGAGTCGGCACTTGGGCGGGCGTGGATCGGAGGCCTCTGCGGGTCTGCCGAGGGCATCTGAGGCGGCATGTAGCTGCTGCCGTCTGTGAGACATATCCTGAGTCTCACATGGAACCCCAGCGACCCAGCGCTGACCCAGGCCCCTATCCCCGCAGCTCGCCTTTCGCCATGGACTGGCAGCCAGACGAGCAGGGCCTACAGCAGGTCCTACAGCTTCTCAAAGACTCGCAGTCGCCCAACACAGCCACTCAGCGCATCGTGCAGGATGTATCCTTTCCTTCGGGGGCTGATGGAGCTGGGCAGCTTTCTGTACCTTGAACATCAGAGAGGGAGGGGTCACTTCTTGATCTCGGTATTCTTTATGCTGCCAGAAAGAACGTGACATGGGCAGAGGATTAAAGGATTTAGAATTCTGGGTCTCATTCCCAGAGGTGCAGAAATGATGGGCATTTATGCCTGATGTTTACTGAGCATTTAATCTTTAAACTGTTAAAGTAAGTTGTGTGTGTCGTTAGTGTCCCCCACCCACCCATTTTATAGGTGGGTACTCAGGCTGAAAACGACTTAGCCAAACCCTAGGAACCAGTGAAGCCAAGATAGGAAATCTAGCTCTCTGATTGTAGTGCAATCTGCCCTTGTAGATGGGGGTAGATGGAGGACACTGGAGTTGCCACATGAGTTGGTTGAAAACTTTTTTTGCAACTGGCTGTTTGGATATATGTTTAAAAAAAACTTAAATGTTTAAAACAAGTTTCACTTAAAAATGAGTGGTGCATTCCCCCACCTTTTCCTACAGTGCTAAGGATGGAACCCAGAGGCTGGGACATGCTGGTCACATGCTCTATCATTGAGCTGCACCCTTCAGTCCCCCCTTTTTCTTTCTTTAGTGGTCCTGGAGATTGAATGGCTTTACACATGCATGCCCTTTACCACTGAGCTCTATCCCTGGACTGGTTTTTTGAAGTAGGGTCTTGCTTTGTAGCAAGACTAACTTAGAACTCAATATGAAACCCAGGCTGGCCTTGAATTCAAGGTGATCTTCCTGCCTCTGCCTCCCCAGTGTTGGGATTACAGGCATGCAGCATACCCAGCTAGCCCTCCTTTCTGATTGTGAAAAGCAGGCATCGTTGGTGTGCTGGGGACAGAACTGAGTAGCAGCTCACACTTTAGGAGAAGCAGGCTTTTTCAGCCGTCTCCTGTTCTAGTAAGGACACAGGGATTGGAAAGGAAATTTAGGCATGTTCCCTATTCCAAGTGTGAACCTGATGCTTCTGAAAAGGCTGTGTGGTACTGTGGGCATAGGAGATGCATCAGTGTGGGATCCCAGGATTCATTGGTCACTGGTGTTTTAAGGTATGTGGCAGTGAGGGAACATTGTCGGAGAAAGACTCCTGTCTCTCAAGTTCCTTATTGAGACAAGGTCTTGGTTGTGGTTCAGGCCAGCCTGGAGTTCAAGATCTCTTTGCCTCAGTTTTCCAAGTGCTGGGACCAATAGGCGTGCTCCACCATGCCTGGCTTCCCAAGTCCCTTAACAGTGTGCCAGAAACTTAAACAACTCAACCAGTTTCCTGACTTCAACAATTATCTGATCTTCGTCCTGACGAGACTCAAATCAGAAGGTATGATCTTTGTCTCTCCTTGTCCTGCAGACCCTGTTTCTCTCCCCTATCATAGCCCTCTGACCTCAGCCCTCTCCCTACAGATGAGCCAACCCGGTCTCTCAGTGGTCTCATCCTTAAGAACAATGTGAAGGCGCATTACCAGAGTTTCCCTCCTCCTGTAGCCGATTTCATCAAACAGGAGTGTCTCAACAATATCGGGGACGCGTCCTCGCTCATTCGAGCCACCATTGGTGAGGGGGTAGTAGGGGTCATCAATGATACACTAAGGTCTTATCCTGGGTCAAGAAGCTATTCAGTGTGTTTAGGGTGTTACTTACTGAAGGTGTCATTTGACCAGAAACTGAGGCACAGAGATGAAGGCCCTGTCTGGCAGGTAACAGCTTGGAAACAAGCTAGGCAGTAAAGGTCAGTGTCTCCCTTTCCTTTTTTCTTGCCTTCTTGCCTTCTTTCCTCCCTCCTCCCTTTCCTTCCATTTTTGAGATGTGGTAACCCAGACTGGCTTCAGATGTACCATCCTCCTGCTTCAGCTTCCTGAGTGCTGGGCTCACTGGAGTAGCTCAGTGTCCACAATTTTGTGACAGGTTTTAGGCTAAGTGCCAAAGGTCTAGCAGTTCCTCTGTCTTCACATAACAAACATTAGTAATGCTCCCTTGAGAAGATTCCTCTGCAGTGGGAATTAGTTAATCCATTAGCAGGTACCTTGCTGAGTCTAGGAAGGAAAGTCCAGCCACAGTACAGCAAGGTGACTAAGGTTTACTTGGTGCCATTTTTCCTCAAGGCTTTTCACTAAAAATAGGAGCATGGCTATTTTTTTTCCAGTGCTTTAAACTTTTTATTTATTTTTTGTGAGGACATGCACATACATGACCTGTGTGGAAGTCAGAGGACTCCTTGGACAGTCAGTTCTTCTTGCCTTCTGCTTTCTTGAGGCAGGGCTTTTGTTTCTGCTGCATAAACTAGTTGACCCAATAGTTTTCCACCTGTTCTTTGGTGTCTTCCTATCTTAGATATGGGAGTGATAGGATTACAAATGTGCACCATTGTTTGTATGGGTTCTGGGGAGCAAGCTGGGATCTTCAGGCTTATGTGGTACAGGTGCTTTTACCTGCTGAGCCAACTTTCCAGGTCCCAGAAGTTTTTTTCTTTTTTGAGGCAGGGTCTCAGTATGTCTCATTGACTGACCTGTAATTTATTGTATAGACAAGGCTGGCCTTGAAACCCCCGATGTTTTATAGCCATTGTTTTCCTTGATATCTGTCAGCTATAAAAGAGTTGCATTTATTTTTTTCTATTTATTTGTGTGTGTATGTCTGTTGCTGCATATGTGTAGAGGTCAGAGGATGTCTTTGGATATTGGTTTTGGTCTTTCACATTGTTTTGAGTCAGTATCTCTGATCATTCACTGCTACATAGGCTATGTAGGGTGTCTCTTGTCCCTGCCTCCCATCTTCAGGTAGGGGCAAAGAGATTATAGACTTTATATGATACTGGATCTAGCTTTTCTTTTTTTCTTTTTTGGTTTCTTTGAGACAGGGTCTCCCTGTAGACCCACCTGGCCTGGACTGGAATTTGCCATGTAGACCAAGCTGGCTTCAATCTCACAGAGATCTGCCTCCCAAGACTAAAGGTCTAGCTTTTTTTGTGTTTTCTGGGGATACAAATTCAAGTTGTCAGGCTTGCATGACAAGGGCTTTACTGAGCTATCTTCCTTATGCTTGGATGTCAGAGGGATGTGGATCTCTTGTGAGACTGAGACCAGCCTGGTCTATGTAGTGAGTTCCAGGCCAGCTGGGGTGGGAGGCCCTATCTCAAAAAAAGTAAGAACCAAAAAAATAATGGAAACAAAAAATTTGTGAAGGCCATTAAAAAAATTAAAAAAATAAAATCCAAGTATGGTACATGCTTTTAATTTTCAGCACTCAGAAGGCAGAGGCAGGCAGGTCTATATAGATTTCCAGGCCAGCTTAGGATATCTAGTGAGACCCTGTGTCAAAACAAACAAAAAAACAAAGAAAAAAAAATTTTTTTTTTTTTAAATTTTTTTGGGGTATTTTTGAGATACAGCCTCCCTGTAGCCCCAGCTGGTCAGGAACTCACTATGTAGACCAGGCTGTCCTTGAACTCACAGTGATCTGCCTGCCTCCACACTCACCTGAAAAAAAATTTTTTTTTAGTTACATTTATTGGGGACAGGTGAGATGGCTCAGTGGATAAGAGCTTTTGCTCTTGCAGAGGACCCGGTTTGATCTCCATCAACCATGTGATACTGAAAGTTGTCCTCTGATCTTTTAGCAAAATAGATTTAAGTTATACTGATCTTATGGGAAAGGTTATACATGTGCTATGGCACCACTTGCAGAAGTTGTTTTTCTCCTTTTACCTGTGGGTCCCAAGGATTGAAAAGGATTGAATTCAGGGTGTCAGGCTTGGCAGGAAGTGTTTTTATTTGCTGATCCATTTTTGCCAGCCTGTGTAGATTATTTTAAAGGAAAAGAGAGTTGTTTATGTATATCAAAGGAAAGCAAGCCTTAAAAATTAACATAATAGGGGCCTGAAGAGGTGGCTCAGTGGTAAAGTGTACTTGCTGTTCTGTTCCCAGTACCCACATCGGCCTGTAACCGCAGTTTCAGGGGATCCAGTGTCTTCTGGCCTCTGAAGACACCCATGCACGCATCCTATTCACTCAGACACACACGTAAATAAAAAGAATGAAGGTAACTCTTTAAAAAATTAACATATGCCGGGCATGGTGACACAAGCCTTTAGTCACAGCACTCGGGAGGTAGAGGCAGGTGGATCTCTGTGAGTTCGAGGCCAGCCTGGTCTACATAGTGAGTTCCAGGACAGCTGGGGCTACAGGAAGACTCTCTCAAAAAGACAAAAAACAAAACAAAACAAAAAAAAAACCCATAATGACCAGGCATGGTGGTGCATGCCTTTAACCCTAGCACCCAGGAAGAGGAACCAGGTAGATCACTGAGATGGAGGACAGTCTGGTCTACCTAGCAAGTTCCAGGCCAGTTGTGGCTATAGGGAGACCCTGTTTCAAAACAAAATCTAATTTGATGAAGACAGAAAAAGAGTATTTTGTCCTTTTTTTAGCTGAGAACCGAACCCAGGACCTTGCACTTGCTAGGCAAGCACTTGACCACTGAGCTAAAATTCTAACCCCCATAATAATAATAATACATTTGAGCTTGTGCCTTTTGAAAAGTTTTGGTATAGCTTCTCACTTCTGTAAAAGTGACTCTGACCCTATCCACGTCCTTTGAAGCCAGCAGGATGTGGACTTCAGGGGTGCATTGTAGGTACTAGGCTCCGCTCTAAAGTGCTCACAGAACTCTTTCTGGATTAACTATCAGGAAATTGAAGCAGTTGTGAATCCCAAATAATCAAGGGAAAAAATTGAGTCTTTGTGTGTCAGCTTTTTAAAAATTTGTCAATTTTTTTCTTCACCAATAGCTTTTAAAATTTTTATTTATTTGTATGTGTATGAATGCACTGCCTGCATGCAAGTGCACCCCTGTTGTGCAATGCTCGAGGTCAGAAGAGGACATTGGATTCCCCTGGAACTGGAGTTACAGAAGGTTATTAGCAGCCCTGTGGGTGCTGGGAATTGAACTTGGGTCCTCTTCAAGAGCAGCCAATGCTCTTAACTGCTGAGCCACTCTTCAGCCCTCTTACATTTTATTTTTATTATTTTTATGTGTATGAGTGTATTGCCTGCATGTATGTAAGTGGACCATCTGCGTGCAGTGTCTGCAGAGGCCAGAAGAGGGTGTCAGATCCCTGTAACTGGAGTTCTGTATGGTTATTAGTTGCCATGTGGGTACTGGGAATTGAACTCAGGTCCTCTGAAAGAGCAGCTATCTCTCCAGCCCCTTGTTTTTTAATTAAAATTTTTTGTTGTTTTTGAGACAGCTCCAAAAAATTGGCCTGGAATTCTATGTGGAGCAAACTGGCCTTGAACTCAGATCCACCTGCCTCTGCCTCTGGAGTGCACCACCACGCTTGGCTTAACTTGAAAACTTTTGTTTGTTTATTTGAGACAGGGTCTCCCTGTAGTCTCAGCTGGCTAGAACTTAACTGTGTAGACCAGGCTGGCCTTTAACTCACAGAGATCCTCCTGCCTCTGCCCCCAAGGTGGGATTAAAGGTATGGTTACCGTACCTGGTAACAGTGTTAAAGAAATTTAAGTTCTATAGAGGTGTGGGGTTTTTTTGTTTTTGTTTTTTTTTTTTTTGTCTTGTCTTTTTGAGACAGGGTCTCCCTGTAGCCCCAGCTGGCCTGGAACTCACTGTGTAGACCAGGCTGGCCTTGAATTCACAGAGATCTGCCTGCCTCTGCCTCCTGAGTGCTGGGATTAAAGGTGTGCACCACCACGCCTGGCTCCTCTAGAGGTGATTTAAAGTCTGGGGGTTTGGGGACATATCTAAGTAGAGTCCTTGCCGCACATGCACAAAGTTCTGGATTTGATCCCCAGCACTGGTCATCCCTGCAATCCCAGGGGATCAAGTGATCAAGGGCATTCTAAACTATGTAGTAAGTTTGATAGCAGCTTGGGCTACATGGAACCTGGTTTAAATAAGTGTACAGGAGGATGTGCATGGGTGCTATGCCAGTATTCTGTCTGGTACCTTCTGTAAGGGACTTGATTTTGGCACGTGTGAGGTCCTGGGATCTCATAGGAAGACTACTTGAAGAAGCCTTGGGGAAGCTTTAGGAGGTCAGTACTTTTTTTGAGAACAGGGTCTTTCTATAGAGCCCATGCTGCCTTCAAACTTGAACTCTTCCTGCCTCAGCCTCTCAATTACTAGCATCACAGTTCTTCACACTGGTGCTTGACTGAATCTAGTGTTTTCTATCACTTCCACTGAGGGCTGAGAGCACTGATGCACAGAGAAGTTTTGTGATGTGGCCAAGGTCAGCACAGTGAACAGGGACCTGTCTATTAAAAGGTGGCATCATCTCCACAGTCTGTTCACCTACCTCAGTACTTTCTAACTTTTAAAAAATATTTTATTATTTTTATTTCATGTGTGTGAGTGTATAAGTGCACCCATGTCATGCAGTGCCTGTGGAGGTTAGAAGGTTAAATCCCATGGAACTGGAGTTATGGATATTTATTAGCCCCCATTTGGGTGCTGGGATTTGAACCTGGGTCCTTTGTAAGAGCAGCCAGTGCTCTTAACTGCTGACCCATAGCACTTTTCTAATTCTTAGGAGTTGGCATCACCTGAGAGGTGGCAGTGGCGGCTTCTGCCTGTAGAAACACTGTCATATTGTGGTGTTGAATGACATGTGTGCACTGATCACTCCCAGCCTGGCTGCTCCATTGCACTCAGGCCTCAGATGAGATCCTCTATTTAGCACCCCTGGATTTCTATTCTTTTAAAATGTATCTTTATTTTATATGTATGAGTGTTTTGACTGCATGTATGTAAGTGTACTACATGTGTGCAGTGCCTCTGGAAGCCAGAAGAGAGTTGTTTGATCCCTGGGACTAGAGTTATGGAGGGTTGTTAGCTACCATATTGGTGCTGGGAATTGAACCCAGGTCCTCTGGAAGAGCAGCCAGTGCATTTAACTACTGAGCCATCTCTCTATAGCCCTTTCTTTTTAAACAATTTGTTGTAAAATGAACATTAGTTCCAGCATCAACATGTCCATTTTTTAGGTAAACATTTCCCTAGTGCTCTGTGTGTGTGGTATCTGTGTATTGATGCATGCATCCATGTCTGTGCAGGTATGTGTACCTGTGTGTATGTGGAGGCCGGAGGAGGACACCAGATGTACTGCTCTTTCACAGAATCTGGATCTAGCTGACAAGCTTCAGAGATCCTGCTGTCTCCACTTCCCACTGCACTGGAATATAAAGGAGTGTGCCACTATGCCTGGCTTTTTATGTGGGTGCAGAGATCTAAACTCAGGCCCTCATGCTTGCTTAGCCACTGAGCAATGTCCTCAGCCCCAACCCTTGGGTTTTTTATAGTCAAAGGCCTTTCTTCAGGCACAAAGCCTTGCCTGGCTTCACGCGTTGTTCCCACTACCTCCTTGCCCTCACTCTTTGTTGGCCTTTCTCTTCTGTGACCTGCTAAGGCTCATCCTGCCCCGGGCTGCCTCCTTAGCTGCTTTGCCTCCTCAGCTGCTTCACCTCCTCAGCTCTTTGCATATGTGTGAAGATGTTACCTGACCACCTGTTTTAATTAAAGTGGCCTTCTCCAGCTCAGCCTGGTGGTACAGGCCTGTAATCCCAGTTATTCAAGGGAGGAACACCACAAATTCAAGTCTTGTCTTGGCAACTTAATATAATCTTATCTTAAGATCAAAAGTTAAATTAAAAAGGAAAAAGAGGGTTAGGGATGTAGCTCAGCTTGCCTAACATGTGTAAGGACCTAGGTTCAGTTTTCAGTACCACAAAATACTAATTAAAAAAATTTTTTTTTCTCTTCCCCTTAGCCCTTAGTTAGTGGCCACCCAGTACTTTGACTTACCTATCTTTACCTCATTCATACTCTCCCTCTAGTTCTAAGAGTAGGTATTTTGGCCTGGATCCTACAACCTGGAACACGGCTGGCTCATTCCAGCACAGGAGATATGTGCTTAGTTGGCAAGAACCACCTGAAGAGGGGCTGTTGCTCCATGGTAGAGTGCTTGCCTAGCATTCATGAGGCCCTTGGTTCTACCCCAGCATCCCAAGAAAGGAGCAGGGTGTGTGCAGTGCTTATCTGGGGGAGACAGGGAAACCAGTGTCCTGGCTCCGGGTGGGGAGGGTGCAGGACTCAGTAGGCCTTGCCCACCATGAGCAGTCTCCTTTCTTTGGCTACCCCAGGAATTCTTATCACCACCATCGCTTCCAAGGGTGAGCTGCAGATGTGGCCTGAGCTGCTACCCCAGCTGTGCAACCTGCTCAACTCTGAGGATTACAATACCTGTGAGGTAGGTGACAAGCAGTGGCTTGCCTCATCCAAGCAGGGGCTTAGGCCTGGAACAGGAACCAAAACCATCTCTCCACTCTGTCCAGGGAGCCTTTGGAGCCCTGCAAAAGATCTGTGAGGACTCCTCTGAACTTTTGGATAGTGATGCTCTCAACAGGCCCCTGAACATCATGATCCCCAAGTTCCTGCAGTTTTTCAAGCACTGCAGCCCCAAGATCCGGTGGGTGCAGCTCACCAGGGCGTCCAAGGGTCTTGGAGGCAGTGGGCAGGTGTATGAGTTCAGGAGTGACCTACACCTTCACTGACCACCAGGTCCCATGCTATTGCCTGTGTGAACCAGTTCATCATGGACCGGGCCCAGGCGCTGATGGACAACATTGATACCTTCATCGAGGTGGGCCACCAGGCTTAGGGTGGGCAGGAGGAGACTGATGATCCTCAGGCAGCTGACCTTGCCTTTCCCCACAGCACTTGTTTGCCCTGGCTGTGGATGATGATCCCGAGGTACGGAAGAATGTGTGCCGTGCCCTAGTGATGCTTCTGGAAGTGCGCATTGACAGGCTCATCCCCCACATGCACAGTATCATCCAGGTGTGCATGGCCAATGCCAAGGGTGGATGGGTGGTTGGAGGGGGGTTAGGGAGCCACCCGCAGCCGGGCTAGGCCTCAGCATTTCCCCCCTGCCCCAGTACATGCTACAGAGGACACAGGACCACGACGAGAATGTGGCCCTGGAGGCCTGTGAGTTCTGGCTGACGCTGGCTGAACAGCCCATCTGCAAGGAAGTTTTGGCTTCCCACCTGGTCCAGTGAGTGTTTCTGCCCCATGCAAACAGCTTCTAGCTTTCCCTGTGCCTGTGTTTTATCTTCCCTCTGTGCTTGTCACAGCCCACCTGGTACATGTTTGTTGGTTTACTTTCAGTTCTCTGTATGTTGATTTTGTAGGAATGTAGCTTCAAAAATTAGGTAACAGAACAGAAACTAAGTGTGGTGGCTCAAACCTGCAATCCTATTCACTAGGGAGGCTAAGGCAGGAAGATCTCAAACAAATTTGAGGCCAGATTAGGTTACATAGTGAGTTCAAACAAAATGGAGCTAGTAGGGGGAAAGAAAAATAAAAAAACAAACTTTTCTCTAGCAAATCAGAGCCTCAGGCCTGGCTGAATCCAGGTGCTCAAAGGATATGAAAGGCATCTGTATAGTCTTGAATCTTCTGCTGGGTTTCCTTTCAGGCATGGCCTTTCCATGTAGTGCTATGGCCTTTTGCATCCTTACAGTTTGGGAAGTTAGTCTCTTTTTTTCTTTTTTGTCTTTTTGAGACAGGGTCTCCCTGTAGCCCCAGCTGTCCTGGAACTCACTATGTAGACCAGGCTGGCCTTGAACTCACAGAGTGCCACCATACCCGGCGGAAGTTAGTCTCTTAACATCTTAACAGAAGTCTAACAGAGGAAGAGCTCACCATTGTGGGGTGGGGATACTGAGCCAGGCAGACCTGCCACTCACTCAGGGTCTTCAACCCTCAGCCTTTGAATATTGTAGACATGTGCTACCGTAGCTGATTTGAACCCATTTTCCTTGATCAGTTTGGATCACTTGCTTCTAAAGATTGTTAAGAGACAGGGCTTCTGAGGAGTGAGACCCTCTTGAAATGTGTGACAAGAAGGTTGTATAGGTTTCCAAGTCCGAGGATCACATGGTCCAGCTCAGTATGCAGCTACTGCCTGCTTGTTCCCCACTGTGGGCCCAACAGCCTCATCTCTCAAAGTGTCCAGATAATTGGGTTGGATGTTCCCACCTTGTGTAGTGCTACGGGCCGACACTGTTTTTCAGGATTCTGACATTCATTGTGACCAGGTCTGGGTCCAGAGTCAGCTATTTGTGATAGGTCAGCTGGGTGTGGTGATACACAACTTGTAGTTCCAGTGTTTGGGGGTTGAGGGATAAAGTTCACTGTTTCTAGGCTAGCCAGAGCTATATAGACCCTGTTTCAAAAGGAGGGGAAAAAACGTTGTGTTATGTGGTCATAGTGGCTGAAAGTAGGTTGAGATAATTCCTTGAAGGGAAATACAAAGATATAGGACATAAGAGTATGGGCGTGCTGAACATGGTCTGCCCCTTGCTTGGCACTGCCACCCATGTACATCCTCTTTCCTGGCAGGTTGATCCCCATTCTTGTGAATGGGATGAAGTACTCTGAAATTGACATCATCTTGCTCAAGGTTAGCTGGGAAGTCCACTGCTGGCTGTGGGGCCAAGGCCATGGGTACTGGGCTGGGTATGCAGTCAATGCTGAGGAATTTGCCTGGTCTGGTCCCCAGGGGGATGTAGAGGAGGACGAGGCAGTACCTGACAGCGAGCAAGACATCAAGCCACGTTTCCACAAGTCACGCACGGTGACATTGCCCCATGAGGCTGAGAGGCCTGATGGCTCTGAGGATGCAGAAGATGATGACGACGATGATGCTTTGTCCGACTGGAATCTGAGTAGGTAGTGGGCAGCCTCCCCCAGGAGGGGATGAGAAATTGGTATGGAGCAGATTGTGAAGAATTGATTATGATGTCTGATCACGGACTGGGGCAGAAGGATTGACTGCCTGCCCTATGGGCCTCACTGAGTGAGCCTGTCCTCCATTTTTGTCCTTCAGGGAAGTGCTCAGCAGCTGCGCTGGATGTCCTTGCCAATGTCTTCCGGGAGGAACTGCTGCCTCACCTGCTCCCCCTACTCAAGGGCCTTCTGTTTCACCCTGAGTGGGTGGTCAAGGAGTCAGGCATCCTGGTGCTGGGTGCCATTGCTGAAGGTGAGTCTCCTGCCTGCCTGCACTTGATGGGTACCCACCTACCTGGACTGATTTGAGGGGTGTTATGTAGTAGATGCAGCTCCACAGTATAAGTTAGTCTTCCTCTTCCCCTTCTGATATTACTGCACACTCAGAACTCCCCTTGGTTGACCTGAAAGGCCCTCCCAAGATTCCTGACACCCCAACCTTCTCCCTGGTTCTTATAAACCTGGTTCTCCCTTGTTCTTATAAACAGCAGCCACAGTGCCAACTGCAGGTCCTTCTGTCCTGCCTGTTCCACAGGAGCACCCCAGGCTTTGGGGTTCACAGATGAGAACTTAACTCCATCCACACATCTAGTGCCAGAGCTTAGGCTTCATAGATAAGAAAACAGCCACACAGATTGACAGCACTTCCTTAGTCCCCAGTTTGCATCTGGCTCAAAGCTGATTTCTTCATTAGGCTGTCTGCCAGAATCCCAAGTGCTCAACCATAGAGTTTCCTTAAATTTTTGTTATTTATTTATTTATTTATTTATTTATTTTTAATTTATGGTCTTTTTGAGACAAGGTCTCCCTGTAGCCCCAGCTGTCCTGGAACTCACTATGTAGACCAGGCTGGCCTTGAACTCACAGAGATCCACATGCCTCTGCCTCCCGAGTGCTGGGATTAAAGACGTGTGCTACCACATCTGGCATTTCCTTAAATTAAAAAAAAAAATTTATTCTATTTGCACACATGAGTGTTTTGCCTGCATGTACGTAAATGCACCCATGTTGTGCAATGCTCATGGTGGTCAGAAGAGGGTACCAGATCACCTGGAACTGGAGTTGGAGACAGTTAGCTGCCATGTGGGTGCTTGGAAATGAGCCTGGGTCCTTTGCAAGAGCAGCCAGCACTTTCAAAAGCTGAGAATCTCAGCTGGGCGTGGTGGTGCACACCTTTAATCCCAGCACTCAGAGGCAGGCGGATCTCTGTGAGTTCAAGGCCAGCCTGGTCTACATAGTGAGTTCCAGGACAGCTGGGGCTACAGGGAGACCCTGTCTCAAAAAGACCAAAACAACAACAACAACAAAAAAAAGCTGAGACTATCTCCAGCTCTGCTTCTTTAACACAGTGTAAAGCCAAGCAAGGTAGTGGAAATTTGAGGCCAGCCTGGTCTATATCGGGAGTGCCAGACAAGCTAGGGCTTCATAGGGAGACATGTCAATCCCGCCCCCCCCCCCCCCCCCCGACAGTATGTCCTGTAGTTGGCATGACTTTTAGGCTCCTTTCCCACTATAAGACATGGATTATGACTTTGGCACATGTGATCACATTGGCACCCAGAATTGTCCTTCAAACTGTAGATACTAGGCAGCCAAAACTCTCAACATGTGTGAGGGTGACCAGGGTTGTGGGGTTGCAGCTTACTGGTACAAGACTTGTCTCATTTTTGACAGTTCCTAGGTTCCATCCAGAAATGGTTTAGTCTAAGAAAAGGTTTGTGAGTTAATATGACTTCTGCTTCCTCCCAGGGGACTGTGGGATCTCTGGTTTGTTGTGTTTTTTTGGTTTGTTTTGTTTTGAGGTAGGGTCTTGCTGTGCTATGATCCTCTTGCCTAAGACTACACAGATGACAGGTGTTGCCACCATACCCAGTAGGAGCAGGATCTCTTTGTAGAAAAGCAGGCCTTGAACCTGTGGAGTGTTTGTTATCACCTGTGAATATGTTGAGAAAGCTGTTAGGTGTGCAGTGTACTGTGTACCAGTGGGAAAGATCTTAGTGGGTAACAAACAGAAGGTAAGAGACGATGAAGAATGAAGAAAGCACAGATATTTCAGGTTTCAAGTGAGAAGTACTTCTATCCACCTATCCATCTGGGTCCTTGCTGTCTCATGAAGTCTAGTTCACTTTAATCCTGCACATTTTGATCCGCCCCCCCGCCTGCCACTTTGATGGAGTGAAGGCTGGCCTGGAAATCCTTGTAGCCTAGCTGGCTTGGACTTTGTAGCTGTCCTGCCTCTTTCCCCGAGTGCTGGCATTAGAGCATGAGCCACCATGCCCATCCAGAATCTGAACTGAGCAGATAGCTCCTCTACCAGATGCAGTGTAACTGCTATTTACCCTCTTGCATCTGCCTTTCATGGGCTCTAAAATGCCTTTGGGTTGGTTAGTTGACCTCCAAACTTCAGTTTTTGTACCCATCATGTGGGGTTGGATGCATAAGAGTGGTATCCTTGGTCCCAGCCTTGTCCAGGAGTCCATTTGAACTGGCCCTTCCTGTCTTTGGGTCACTACAGGCTGCATGCAGGGAATGGTACCCTATCTGCCTGAGCTGATCCCACACCTTATCCAATGCCTGTCGGATAAAAAGGCGCTGGTGCGCTCCATTGCCTGCTGGACACTGAGCCGATATGCCCACTGGGTGGTCAGTCAGCCACCTGATATGCACCTCAAGCCTCTGATGACAGAGCTGCTCAAGCGTATCCTGGATGGCAATAAGAGGGTGCAGGAGGCAGCTTGCAGGTGAGCCTTGACCCGACTCTGCAGTACCACCCTCCCTCAGGGAAGTGATGACATCTGTGACTGCTGACATGACACTGATCTCTGTCGTATTCGTACTGGCTGATCCCACATGCACCCTTTGCAGTTGCCCATGGTGCAACCCCACCTGTGCGGTCCACTAAGCCCTCTGTCCCATCCTCTCTCCTGCCAGTGCCTTTGCCACACTGGAGGAGGAGGCGTGCACAGAGCTGGTGCCTTACCTCAGCTACATCCTTGATACTCTCGTCTTTGCCTTTGGCAAATACCAGCACAAGAATCTACTCATCCTCTATGATGCCATTGGCACCCTGGCTGACTCTGTGGGTCACCACCTCAACCAGCCGGTGAGACTCTGGAACAGCCCCCTCTACCCTATCCATATATCCTTTGGCATCTGATGTCCTGGTGACTTTGTGTCACATGATAGTGGTCATGACTTCTTCAGACAGACCACTCAGCCCTGCCTTTGCCTTCCTTCCTTCCAGGCTAGTGGGAAAGGTAGACAGACAGCATGATAATGTTGTGCTGGGGGAGTGCAAGGGCCTGTGGGAGCAGGAGGCCCCACTCAGGTTCCTGGCAGTGGGAGATGGGGAAAGGTGTACTGGGGACAGACAGATGAGAAAGGCCTACAATATAGAGTCATAATCAGGAGGCTAGATGGATCTCAAATCTTCACCCTTAGGCACAGCACTTCCTGAGTCAGGTCACCACCTCTACTCAGGGAGCCCAACTTGCCACTTCCTCTCCAGGAGTACATTCAGAAGCTGATGCCCCCACTGATCCAGAAGTGGAACGAGCTCAAGGATGAAGATAAGGATCTTTTCCCCCTGTTGGAGGTGAGTCAGTTCACATTCCCCCTCAGAATCCCCTCCTGACCTGAGCTCATCATCTTTGCCCTCCTTGCCAGTGCCTGTCATCTGTGGCCACTGCCCTGCAGAGTGGCTTCCTGCCCTACTGTGAGCCTGTCTACCAGCGCTGTGTTACCCTGGTACAGAAGACATTGGCCCAGGCCATGGTGAGTCCCCTGAGCCCCCTGTCCACTTGCCCAGACCCTACCCAGACCCTGGCCTGCTTCCTTCATGTGCCCAATCTGTATCCAGATGTACACACAGCACCCTGAGCAGTACGAGGCCCCTGACAAGGACTTCATGATCGTGGCTCTGGACCTGCTTAGTGGCTTGGCTGAGGGCCTGGGTGGCCATGTGGAGCAGCTGGTAGCCCGAAGTAACATCATGACACTGCTCTTCCAGTGTATGCAGGTGGGTGCCCTACACAGACAGCACCTAAGCTAGGCTCTACCCAAGACTAGGAAGGGAAACATGCTCAGAGGCCTTTTTTTCTAGATAATGACTACACATGGTAATGGCTATAGGCCATCAGGGGAAAAAGCTCTTAATAAAAAATAAGTCAGGTGTGGTACACACGCCTTTAATCCCAGCACTTGGGAGACAGGCAGGTGGATCACTGAGTTCAAGGCCAGCCCTGTCTCCATAGCCAGCTGTGGCTATAGGGAAACCCTGTCGAAAAAAACAAAACCAGAAAAGGACCAGATATAATGGCACACACCTTTAATCCCAGTCAGGTGACAGACACAAGTTCTAGGGCAGTCTTTTTGAAAAAGGGAGAGGGGGTGGACTGGAGAGATGGTTTAGTGGTTAAGAGCACTGACTGTTCTTCCAGAAGAACAAATTCCAGCACCCACATGGCAGCTAACAACTGTAACTGTAACTCCACAGTTTCAGGGGATCTGACGTCCTCTTCTGTCCTCCATGGGCATTGCACCACACAGGTGCACTTACATGCAGGCAGTAAACACAAAGGACCTGTGTTCAATTCCCAGCATCCACATGGCAGCTAACAACCATCTGTAACTCCAGTTTCAGGGGATCCCATGTCCTCCTCTCGTCTCCATGGGCTTTGCTTGACATGGGTGCACTTAATATACATGCAGGCAATACATTCATACACCTAAAATAAAAGTGAAAAATAATGGCTCAGCTGGTAAAGGTGCCTGCCACCAAGTTTCAATTCAGTCTGGGACCCACATAGTGGAAGGAGAGAAACAACCCCTACAGGTTGTCTTCTTCCACATGTGCTTGGCACATGCACCCACACATACAAGTATGTAAATACACTTGTGTATACACACACAAAGGTTAAGTAGCCGGGTGTGGTGGTGTACACCTTTAATCCCAGCATTTGGGTAGAGGCAGGTGGATCTCTTGAGTTTGAGACCAGCCTGGTCTATATAGTGAGTTCCAGGCCAGCTGGGGCTGTAGGGAGACCCTGTCTCAAAAAGACAAAGAAAAATAAAAAAAAACAAGTGCTTAGGCCAGGTGTGTTGTTGAATGCACTTGTGAGACACAGGCTGGTAAATCTTTGTGAGTTGGAGGTGAGCTTGATCTATGTAGTCAGTGTCAGGCCAGTCAGGACTACATAGTGAGACCCTGTCATAAAAAAACCCCATAAAACCCCCAAACAAACAAAAGAAACATGGAGAGCTGGGAATATAGTCAATGGTAGAGTGTCTAGCGTGTGTAAATCTTGGATCCAAATCCCAGTACTGTGTTCCCCACCAACCCATCCCTCGAATAAATGGGATGGCTCACTGGTTCTGACCTGACTCCCCCCCCCCCTCCATGCACGCACGCGCACACACACACACACCAAAGATATATGGGAGCTGAGGCTATAGCTTATAAAATGCTTATAAAATGCAAACAAGGGAATCAGAGTTTGATCCCTAGTACCCACATAGAAAGCTGGGTACAATTATACAGAGGTGCCTATTATCCCAATACTGGGAAGATAGAAACAAGAGGATCCCTGGGGCTCTTTGGCCAGCTGGTCTAGCTGAATTGGTGAGCTTGGGTTCAGGGAGAGAGACCATGTCTTAAAAATAAGGTTGGCAGTGCTGGAGAGATGGCTCAGCGGTTAAGATCACTGGTTATTCTTACAGAAGACCCGGGATTCGAATCCCAGCACCCACATGGCAGCTAACAACTGTCTATAACTCTAGTCCCAGGGGATCCGACAGCCTCTTCTGATCTCTTGGGCATTGCACGACACAGGTGCACTTACGTAAATGCAGACAATACACACATAAAATTAAAAACATAAAATTTTTTTTAAAAAGTTAAAAAAAATACGGTTGGATGGGGCTGGAGAGATAGCTCATTGATTAAGAGCACTGGCTGCTCTTACAGAGGATCCAGGTTCAATTTTCAGCACCTACATGGCAACTAACAACTGTCTGTAACTCCGGTTTCAGGGGATCTAGCACCCTCTTCTGACCTCCACAGGCATTGTACAACACAGAAGCACCTACCTACATGCAGCAATATACTTATGCACATAAAAATAAAAACAAATAATTTGGACAGAGACAGGTATGGTGGCACACTCCTTTAATCCCAGCACTGGGGCGACAGGCAGGATCTCTCTAAGATCAAAGCTAGCCTGGTTTACTACATAGCAATTTCTAGGCCAGCTGGGGCTGCAGAGAGACCTTTTCTCAAAAAGACAAAAAAAAGGTTGAACAGCAATTGAAGAAGATGCCTAACATTGACCTTTGGGCCTCCATATGTACATAGACCAGAACATTTACACACACAAATGCATACAAAGTAAAAAGTAAAGGCATGGTTGTGAACTGGAGAAAGGCAGGCAGGAGGATGATAGGCTTGAGGTCAGTCTGGGTTGAAAGACCATGTCTCAAAAAAATGAGTTGGCATATAATGCCATTGCCGTTTTGTGTTGCTAGGGATGGAACTGAGGGCCTTGAGTATGCCACATGCTCACCATTGAGCTGTTCCCACAGGATGTTGCAAAGGGGCTAGAGTAGGAAGACTAGCACAGTTAAGGGACAGCCCTGAGCCTCAGCCTTTGCTCCAAGGACTGCCTTTTCAGCTGGCCTGGGTGGGAGGAAAGGAGCCCTGCCACTCTGCCACCTCTCCCACCTCCAGGATTCCATGCCAGAAGTCCGGCAGAGCTCCTTTGCTCTCTTGGGAGACCTCACCAAAGCCTGCTTCATCCATGTCAAGCCCTGTATTGGTAGGTACCTCCCCTTGTTCCTAACCTGGACCCCAGCCCTGGCCTTGAATGTTGGACACACACCCTGGGAGGATCATGACCGAATTGGGATGTATTCGTACTGTCTGATGGGGCCTGGTCAAGCCAGTTCTGGAGCTTACCTTTGATGGCCTTCCTGCTCAGCACCCTTTTTTCTCCCCACTAGCTGAGTTCATGCCTATCCTGGGCACCAACCTGAACCCTGAGTTCATCTCTGTCTGCAACAATGCCACCTGGGCCATTGGTGAGATCTGCATGCAGATGGGTAAGTGCCCTGCAAGTGACAGGCTTCTTTCCATTTGTCTCTTCCCATCCTGGGGGGCCAGAGCATGACTCTGATTTCCCTGACACAAAGGTCAGTTATAAGATGGCATAATAGTCTGTGCCTGTTGGGCTATCTCATAATTGTCTTTCTGCAAGGCCCAATGGGATTTGATTGGGTGACTTTGGCCTCTTGTCCTTCTGGAGGACCAGGCAGTGTCATCACAGCAGGGCACGTAGAGGGTGGGCCTGTCACGACTTGGCTGGGGGCATCCCAAGGAGCTTCCTTGTTCTCTTGGGTTGTTGTGAGCCAGTCTGAGTGGAAGTGGGGTTTTAGAGGGCAGCCATACCTGGCTGGCCCTTTTGTGGGTGGATTGGGCCATGTAGGACTGTGAATGGCTGGTCCCTAGGGGCAGAGATGCAACCCTACGTGCAGATGGTCCTCAACAACCTGGTGGAGATCATTAACCGGCCCAACACTCCCAAGACACTGCTGGAAAACACAGGTGAGTGCCAGGGGTAGGTTGCCAGCCTCTGGAAGTGGGGTTCTGAGCAGGGAGGGGAAAGAACCAGGGAGGGTGTCAACACCTAGAATGGGACTCTGGGAGAAACTCCAGGCAAAATACTGGCCTTGAGACCTGGGAAGAGACCCAGACTTGGGGGAAACCTTGGCTGGGCAAAACTCAAGGCCCCCAGGCTGGCCACAGGGCCACAGGAGTGTTCCCTTGGGGCCCTTGGGGCGGGGCTTGGTGCCTCCTGTCAGAGGCCCTGCCACGTACCGTCCCGGGGCCACTCGGGGTTGCAGGTCGCCTGACGAGTCCCTCTGCCATTCCAGCCATCACCATTGGCCGCCTGGGCTACGTGTGCCCACAGGAGGTGGCACCCATGCTGCAGCAGTTCATCAGACCTTGGTGTGTGCCTACCTGGGTGGGGCCTGCTGGGGGTGGGCAGGACAGCTGTGTTCCCCAGCCCTACTCCCTTGATGCATGTGAGGGACCTACCCACTGATGCCCCTATTTTTTTCACCCCTTGTCCATGCTGACCCAGCCTCAAGCTTAGCCACTGACCTACCCTTCCCATTCCCAGGTGCACGTCCCTCAGAAACATCCGGGACAATGAGGAGAAGGATTCAGCCTTCCGTGGCATCTGCATGATGATTGGTGTTAATCCTGGGGGCGTCGTGCAGGTCGGAGCAGAAGGGCTCTGAGGGAAGGGTTGGGGCTGGCTTGGGCGGCCCCTCACATGGGATGCATCATGTTTCAGGACTTTATTTTCTTCTGCGATGCTGTAGCCTCCTGGGTGAGCCCGAAGGATGACCTTCGGGACATGTTTTATAAGGTGAGGCTCCTGCTTGTCCCATGGGAGTCCTGGGGAAGGGCTCCAGTCAAAGCCTAAAATATAAGGGTCTCCCAAAGTAGTAGAAAGCAGGGAAGGAAGAAAAAAAAACGTTGAAGGAAACTGCAGGGCCAGTGACTAGTCAGTTTGCCTCAGCCAATTGTCACCCTGCCTTACTGCAGATCCTCCATGGCTTCAAAGACCAAGTTGGGGAGGAGAATTGGCAACAGTTCTCAGAGCAGTTCCCACCACTGCTCAAGGAGAGGCTGGCAGCCTTCTATGGGGTCTAGGTGAACGTGGAGACCATCAGGTGAGCAGGCCTTGGGCACCCAGGGCATTCTGGAGGCTGTCTTAGGTGAAAGGAACACAGGCCTTGACCCTCCCTTTCCTGTGCAGGTTTCTGTCTACGTCATCGTCGGAGGGATTGCTGGGGAGCGTGCTGCGTCCAGAAGTCACTGTGCCCTGGTCAAGGGGGGTTAGGGAGGAGTAAGTGGGACCCAAATCTAGATGCTTCCTGTCCGTTCATCCGACGGTCCACCTGCCCCACCGAGCCTGACACATGGGCAGGTGGGTGGGGTGTCCACACTCATCCTACAAACAGGGAGGGGGGTGGGACTTCTTGGCGGCGAGAACCCCCTGGGTTCTAATCTACGTCATCTCAGGCAGCCCACCTGGGCCAGCCATGTGGGAGGGAGGAATCCACAAGGCCGACTGAATCCAGTGTCCGATGAGGCAAGGGGATTGCAGGAGGGGAGGGGGGGTTCCTTGTAGAGAAGCAAGCGTACATTCACATGTACACGTGGCCACACGCATGTGCGGGCACTGCAGCCAGCTAGGCTGGACCAGCCACCCCACCATTTCCTCGACTGCATGGAGACAGTAGAATTAGTGAACCCGAGTTAAGCCTTATGGCCTTCCGTGTACCCTGCATCTAGAGTATAAGAAGCTTCTGCTGTTTTGCCAGATCGGTGGTGATTAGGGAGGGCTGGGGGGGGGTAGGGGACCTCAGCTGGGACCCTAGGGTGGGGGGAGGAGGACAGCCACCTTGGGGCTGCCCTAACAGCACGTGCACGCTTTGGACCTGCTCCACACACTTCTGCCAGCTCTGTGGCAGCCTCATTTAGTGTGTCCCCATCTTTGTCCCATCCCAGCCAGCAGCAGAGTGGGGGCCATTGGAGCAGCTGGGTTTCCCTGAGGCTGCCCTGTCCCCCATCCTTTCCTGTGCTCTTTAGGTATTTGAAGGCATGAGCTGGGAACTTTTTCCCTTAAGAGATCTGGGGGCACCCAGAGCTGCTGGCACCTCCCGTTGCATCTCTCTGGAAGCAGTTTCAGGGGTGGTCCAGTTCTCTGCTTCTGAGAGCCTCCTCAGGACCTGGGGCAGGTGCATTTGTTTGATGAGGACAAAGGACAGGTTTATTCCGTCCAGCAAGGAGTAGCAGGGCTTAGAGAAGGGTGGACCCATTCCCTCGACTGTGTTCTGGAACTTACTACTCATCACAGTGCTCAGACCCTACCAGACTGGGACACCAATGAGAACTTTCTAGTGATTGGTTGGGGATGCCATCAAGGTGGGAGGGGTTCTCCTAGAGGAGGAAGGTGTGGTTATTTCCAAATTGACTGGTCACTGGCCCTGCAGTTCCCTTAAACGTTTTTCTTTTTCTTCCCTGCTTTCTACTACTTTGGGAGACCCTTATATTTTGGGCTTTGACTGGAGCCCTGCATCTCAGGGCCTGCTCCCTCCATCCTTCCAAGGTCCTGGACCCCATCCCATCTGGGCCCTCTGTCTTCTCTCAAGCAGGGTATGCCCTGCCTCTATCCCCAGAGGCACCAAGTGCACATTCCATAACTCAGCTAGTCATCCCATCCCCTCCAGCCTGAAACTTGAGCAGGTCTCTGAAAGCCATTTGTAGGGGGAAAAAATTAACTTTTTGGTAATTCCAGTTCTTTGGAGCATCCTCTGCTGGGTCTTGGGGTGTACTGATGGATTGGCTGTCTGATGGGGTTGTAATTATTCCCCTCTGTTCAAGGTGGGGGGCTCCAACCACCTTCAGGGAAGGGGAGCCTGATTCTTCTAGTTTTCCGTTTTTTTTTTTTTTTTTTTTAAGAAGGCTTTTTAATTTTTTAATTTTTTTTTTGTTTGTTTTTTCACAAAGGAA